CTCGTCCAGGGTGAGGAGGGAGCCGACCTCCGAAACCTCTCCGTCCTCACAGTCACCCCACTCCGCGGGCACGGGTGGAAGGTCGAGTGGGGCCCAGTCAGTCTCAGACTCCTCGTCCTGAGAGGAGTCCGGACGGGGCGCTGCAGCGGCGAGGAACGCACGCCTGCGTTCGCTCTCCTCCCTGGGGAGAGCGAGACACGAGGTGCAGGTGGCGCTCAACGCCGCATGGCCCGGGGTCAGGCACATGAAGCAGCTGGAGTGCTGGTCCGTGCGCTGGAGCCTGACTCGACACGTCGAGCAACGACAACGTCCGACGCCGGATGGCGAAGGGGAACTCGGACGAGCATCAGAAGACATCTTTTTTCTCTGGAAGTGAGTACTGTGGTAGATTTCAATCGGCGCCAGAGTGAAAGAGGGGGTGCGGCCTTGTGCAGGGGCATTTATAGAGGACGGTGGCAGGTGATTGGAGCAAATTATTTTGATCTCTCTGGCGTGTGACCTGGGGGTCACGAGTGATATCCCACTAGCGAAGTCCTAAGGGACGTAGCACCATGACGTAGAACCACATAACTCCACATAACATAACGCGAAGAGTGCGCAGCGGGTGGACAGGGCAGTGAGACATTTGGAGTGAGCAATGCCATAGTCCATCGGTCCATGCGTTAATGGGGTGCCTCTGTGTGAGGCTTACACAAATCTAATGAAAACATACTGTACATTGCTTTACCAGATGTGAGGAATACAAATAGCCGTGCGTAATTACGCAGCGCAGAGCCAGCCACAGCAATAGCTGGGTCACACATCCCTGTCGCATAAAGTGTATTTGTATAGAGCCTTTCACTGTCCAGGATCATAAAGCGCTTCACATTTTAAAAACATACAGATCAAAATAATACACACAAAAGTCAGATTTAAAATCATTGAAACAGAAGAGGCTCCTCATCATGATCTGTGATTTATTCGAAGTTTGCGTGTTTCCAGAGTGTTATGGTGCTTAGACTTTTTCTGATGCGCAAATTCAAATTCCGAAACATGATGCTCCATGAAAACACAGCTTATAATATTGCCAGAGTGGGAACATGTTTATTGTTGTCCAAATCTTGAATTTCATGACTGTTTTGGCGTGTTGTGACGAAGGGTGAAACGAGCGTACACATTTACACCACCTATTGACTTAGTGTGAAATCTGTGCGTATCGTACACTCACGTCCAGATTGATAAATGCGGAAAAGTGTAATTTTTTTGCGTACGCATCATTTACACCCTGATTTGGCCGTACGCAAGTTTCATACATGAGGCCCGGTATCTGCTTCCTTAACGTGCGTGGGGAGCTGATTCCACAGTAAAAGAGCTTGGTAGCTAAATGCTCTGCCGCCGACAGTGCTTTTTGAAACCTTAATGGTGCTTTCAGACCGGATCATGCGTTGCGTCGGGTTTCAATGCAAAGTCTATGGTGACGTGCGTTTGACCGTCGCAACGCACGGACCTCACGGCACGCACAAACGGACTGTTCAGTAGACACGCACGGACTTGGCGGGAAAGTCAAAGGGGAGGATCAGGAGTGAAAAATGGACGCCCACAGGAGATGGATTCAGCTCATCCTTTCCTTGGGATGTTCGTGCGACAACCAATCAGAGAGCCGCAAAGTGGTCACGGGGACATTAGCGGACTGAGCGAGCAGACTGAAAATACTCGTAAACAGCCAAAACAGGACCCACACCAGGCTTCACCAGAACTAAAACCAGGGTTGACAATGGGTGACTGTGTGCTTGTGAAAATATGGGTTGTCATGCTCCCATGACCTTATGCAACTGCTTGGAGTGTGTTCGCCAATGCGGAAATTCCGTTGAATAATATGAAAACACGTATGGCGCACTCCCGTGAACACATACTGCTGGAATGTCCGTGGAATGTCTGTGAGCAAAGCTGCAAAGCTGCATATTGGAGAAGATCTGTACACAAGAAGCCGCTAGCATAGCTCTGTTAGCATCAGAGCCGGCCGGCTACTTCCGGTACTTCCGGCTCGCGTCAGGACGTTCTGGTGTGAAGTCCTCTGCGTCTGAAAACTAGAGAATGCGCGTCTGGTAAGCGGGGCTTTCAGCGTTTGAGCGTTTGCGGTCTGAATGCACCATTAAGGACCACCAGACGTATGGCGTTTTGCGAGTGCAGTGCTCGGCTTGGCTGATAAGACATTAACATGTCTTGAAGAGGGAGCCCAGCCATTTATGGCTTTGTATGCCAAGAGAAGAATTTTAAACTTTATTCTGTACTCCACAGGGAGCCAGTGGAGTGATTTTAACACCGGAGTTATGTGCTCCCTCCTTTTGGTGCCTGTTGAGATCCTTGCTGCTGTATTATGAAAGAGCTGGAAGCTCTTCAAAGAGGTTTTACGGCACGCTGCCAATAAAGCGTTACAGTAGTCAAGTCTTGAGGTGACAAAGGCGTGGATTAGTTTTTCCGCGTCACTTTTAGGAAGGATATTCCTGTTTTAGTGATGTTCCGCAAGTGGAAATATGCAGTTTTAGTTGCTTGGTTTATATACTGTAAGCCTTAAAGGAGAGTTCTTCGTCAAAAATGACTCCAAGATTCCTCACAGTGTTGCTGGGTACAATATTGACATTATCGAGAGTAATTATCTGGTCGGCGAGGGAGTCACGCAGGCTCTTTGGACCGAGTAGGATCACTTCTGTTTTCTCCGTGTTAAGCTGTAGAAAGTCAAGAGTCATCCACGTTTTAAGGTCCTTTATGCAGGCACTAAGCGTTTTCAACTGATCCGTCTGATTTGGCTTCATCGACAGATAAAGCTGTGTGTCATCTGCATAGCATTGGAAATTAATTCCATGCTTTTTAATGATGTTTCCTATTGGTAGCATACAGAGTGTGAAAAGAATCGGTTCGAGTACCGATCCTTGGGGCACACCGAATTCCACTCTAGAGTAGGGTGACGAGTTTTGATTCACAGTGACAAAGTGATACCGATCCGATAAATAGGATTTAAACCAGCCAAGGGCTGTTCCTCTGAGACCTATATCACATTCTAGCCTCCGCAGTAGAAAGTTGTGGTCTATTGTATCAAATGCAGCGCTAAGGTCCAGTAGGACCAATATTGACACTTGTCCATTATCAGCAGCTAGTAGTAAGTCATTTGTGACTTTGATTAGAGCCGTTTTAGTGCTATGATGAGCTTTCCAAGATTTTGGATATGAAAGTAAGGTTCAAGTAAGTAAGTAAGGTTTGTTTTCTTCAGAAGGGGTTTGATTACAGCGGTTTTAAAAGCTTGTGGGACATAGCCACATGGATGCGTTTATAATATTTAAGAAAGGCTCTATTATCAAGGGAAGTGTGTCTTTAAAGAGCCAAGCCTGGATTGCATCTAAAATGCAAGTTGAGGCTTTAGAAGATGTGACCACAGAGATCACTTCCTCTTGGCTCACAGCCGAGAACTGATTGCCTTGCTTCTGTCAGTGTGCCCCAGGGCAGCTGTGGCTACTATAGTAGTTTATCACCACCATGTACAAAGTGGAAGAATAATAAATGTAATATGTTCTTTTGTTATCATTCTGAATTGACTCTAGGGTAAATGTGATGTTTGAAACTTTTTTCTTGAGATTTCAGATCGATGTACATCCTCTCAAAGTTTCTTTCATTCTCGTTCATAGATGTGTCTGGCGCTCAGCATCCACAAAAATGTAATAGAAAATCATCTATATACACATTTATGAATGTATCAAAATCATTTGAATATGTACACATTCATCCACGCATGATCATAAAATGTTTTGCATATGTTTTCATTTTCCACGTAAACAGTTCAAGGTTCTTTTTCTTTTTATTGTGAAAACAGACATACAAGACAGGTGCAGACATACAGACGAATACAATAAGACAAACAAGACAGACAATTGTGTGTGTGTGTGTACATAAGAGCAATTTGTTGACTCCACCCATCACCCTCATTGCCTCTTTTTTCCCTTCCTTTTTGTGTATCAACTTGCATACATGTGTCTAAAGTGGTGCATTAAAAAGGACACTATGGGAGGCTGTCTACTTGGGGCAGGGATGCTGTTCCAAGGACATCTCCCATGTGTCCTGTATCCCTAGCATCTTTTGCATCCTTTAAAAAAGGGCAAGCGCGCAACAGTTTAAATCAAACATTCATTAAAAGTATGAATTAAGTTTCACTTTTCCACCACATTGACTCTGACACTTAGATTCTCCATTCAAAGCCCTGACCAAGCTGACAACAAAAACCATGTCCGAGTTCCACACAAAGTCTGGTGTGTGCTTGGCTCGTCATTCCCATAAAAATCTATGTGCAGGGTTTATACACTTATAGAAACAGTAAACAGGCAAGGCAAGTTTATTTGCATAGAACATTTTATACACAAGACAAGTCAAACTATTTTTCAAACAGGAATTAAATAATAATTAAATAGGGGCGACAGTAGCTCAGTTGGTAGAGCATTGGCCTTTGGGCCTGAAGGTCGTGGGTTCAAGCCCACCATAAGACCTACTTCACGACTCCCACTGATGACTGCTGTCGTTGTGTCCTTTGGCAAGACACTTAACCCCACTTTGCCTGAAGCTCCCACTGAAAGATCTCAGCTCCTGTGGACTCACCACCTGCAGGAGGATCAGTGAGGGGCTGGTGCTAAGTGTACTGGGTGCAGCTCTGACTGCCACCCCCCCAACCCAGAAATGGATTAAGGGGAAGAAAATGGATGGATGGATGGATGAATTAAATAATCACCTCCACCCATCCATTTTCTTCCTATTTGTCCGTTGCTGGGTTGCAAGGGCAGCAGTCTGAGCAAAGATGCACAAACTTTCCACACACTAAGTAAATATTGTACATATTATATACTAACCAAACCCTTGATACGTATGATATACTTGAAAATGTCATCTCTGGGAAACATCCAATCCACTGTGCTCAACCATATGCATGAAACAGATAAATTCAAGGAAAATAGACAATCTGGTGTAAAACGCTGAAAAATTCAGGCACATGGTTGTTTTTTGGATGAAGAAGATATTTGCTTCTTGAAAACACATTGATTCTTGTCCTTTTTCCAGGTCAGTTTGACGTGCCCAAAGTTGTTGGCGTCCAACTGTTTCTGCAGCTGAGGAAACGAGAGAATGTTATTGATTCCAAGTAAAAGACGTGTGTGTAAAGTAATGGTATTATTTCATGTCACCAGGGATATTTGTTATTTCAATATTATTGTTATTTGTCACTTTCATCCAACTTGTTCAACTATGTGGCAAGAGTTACACAATGTTGTTTTCTTATTGATAGTTAAATGTCTTTTTTATGTCTTGTAAATTGCTAATATTGTACAAATAGATTGGGTAAAGTTCAACAAACCAGAATGTAGATTAATAATTTTTTTTTAAAAGGAACCAAGTTTTAATTTAGTGAAATTTCAAATGAAAAGTCTTAAAGTTGAATCAACATTAAAAATATGTAGTAATAATATTTTGTTCCAGTTTATGCAAAAAGAACATTTCCAAATCAACTAAGCAAATTTGAGAAAGTCAGCAAATTGCTCTAATGTTACTCAACTAAATAAAGCAACTGATATAGTCAAGTACAAACAATGAATGATTCAAGATAAATAATTAAACTACACAGAAAGTGGACAGACTGAGTGTTGACGTCACCATAGTGTCAGCCAAATGTGGAAGAAGTAGACCATAAGCTGCTGGAGCCAATTTCCAGCTTTGCATAATGACAAGGGCAGACGTTTACCATTAAGACGGACTTAGACGGTTGCAAAGGCAAGCTGGAGTTTCCCCCGGGAATGAGGCATCTGATTGGTCAATCCTTTTTATATATGTCTCATATCTGGATCAAACATAAACCCTATAGATTTCAGGAAGTGCTAAACCAGAGATGAGCTAAACCATGGGCACTTCCCTACAGGACTTAATTGAGCTGTAGGGGGTTAGCATTGTCCACTTATACAGGTACAGTATATAATCTATGACCGGGTTGTGGCTCTTGATCAGACATTCAATAAATAAAACTAAACCAACAACAAACAAATTGGAATACGGTACATCTTTTTGCCCCAAGAATAATTACCAAGATACTAGTGCCCCACCCCAGATGCGGCCCTTTGGGCGTTTCTGGGGTTTATCCTGGGGGGTTACGATCCAAAAGTAACCTGCAATAAACAAAATCCGCAAAGTAGGAGCTTTGTTTTAAGGTTGTAAAACTCCTCACCAGTCACTTTAGACACTTTTCTAACCGCCTGAACTCATCACTGCTGAAGTATGATCCCAGAAAAATCAAACTTGTCTGAATACCGCTGCAGCTGTCAAAAGCCGTGCATACACTGCAGAGGACACCGCGCTGAGTGGCAGGAGCAGGGCAGAGGGCTACAGGAAGACTGAACTAATCACAGCGACACACACAAACCACCACAACATTTCCCATCTGACTTTGAAAAAGTGTAACTGCTCATTTACACAGGAGGCGTTACAGCACGCAAGCATTGTACGCTCAGTCAACCTACGTGTGCGCACAGTGAGCGCTTACGGCTACTGTGTACATTCCCAGTAACTGTTTTGTTATACTTGTGGTTCTATGATGTTGTTGGAGAGTACATGCGGCAACTTAGAAACACGGTGTAAAAAAGCTTGCAAAAAATTCACTCATCCCTCTAAGCTGCGGGCAGAGCTCTGCAGCCGCAGTCGCCCACCTCGCTTGGACCCCAATCCATAATAGCTAATATATTTTTATTTACCTGCAAAAAATGAAATAAATATTGGAAATATAAGTCCGGCCCCCGAGAACAGGCCAATATTCCAGTGTGTCCCTCGGGCGGAAAACTTTCCCCATGAGTCCTGTTCTTTTGAGTTGGTGATGTGCCCATGTGTCTGCAGCTCGCAGATTAGCTTGATTGTAGCTAAATTAAAAATTGTTTTAAGGATATGCAACGTTAATATAGCTAATGCACATTAACTTACCTACCATACCTTCAAAAGTCTCAAAAAACATTATTATATCATCAAATGACTTGTGTTATGTTAACACACTGTTAACCATAAACAAATACCGATCTAGACACATAAAGTAATTTTACATTTTGCTCTAAATCTATTCATAGAGCAATTTGACAGTGTAGGAAGATGATAACATGTGGGCAAGAAAGATACAGAAACCTTTATCATTGGTCTATTAAACGTATTTACGTCTGCAATTATGAGAAACCTCTTCATAGTTTCAGGGTATAAAGAAGTCTTATTTTTCTGTTTTAATGTTGAATTTTCAGAGCATATTGATTAACCAGACATACCTGTTCCAATATTTCTTGGCTGAGTGGGTTCAGATCCACAGGTGAGGACATATTTATTTTCACCAAAGTCTTTTTAGTCTTCAGAGCTGAAACATAACAATATTCCTTGAAGAGAAGTTTTTCATGTGTGTGTCTGTGTGTGTGGGTGTCCTTACTATAGGCCAAGAATAAGACTTTTTTCATGTGTGTACCTGTGTGCTTGTGTGTGCCTGTGTGCGTACGCATGGGTGTGTGTGTGTGGGGGGTATGTAAATTAATGTAAAAGTCACAAACTGCAGTAAATGTTGAGAAATTTAACAATTCCACAAGAGGCTGGCACATGGGAGGCCATCCTGTTTGCAGGCCATTGTTCCCCATGTTGTTGTCCATGCATCTTTTGTTACTGTTACAAATGGAAGTAATATTATTTATGATTATTTTTACTTTAAAGAACCACAGCAACAACTGCAAATAGATGTGGGGTATAATAACATTAACTGTTTCCTGGTTTATCCTGGTTTCCTGAAAACAATTGTGTAAATAATACTGTATATAACAATTAACTAAGGAGGAAAAATTCCATAATAAAAAGCATTTGAAACAAAATAAAAATGTCAGCCATATTCTATTTGGCCAAAGACCCCAAACTTGTTAAAGTAAAACGTTGACAACAAATCAACGTTGTCAACTATGTTTTCTACTTATTAGAAAACATAGTATCTTTTATATATTTTTTCTGTGAGTATAACTATTTGACTCTTTGGGCTGAGTGCTGATTGGCTGAGTGAGGGTGGTGCTTTCTTTTTAACTTTTATATCTGATAAAGGTGATATAGCTATGTGACAGAGGCCAAATGCATGTGAAAACTAGCGGTGGAACCAAACTGTTTTAGAGAAAGCAACTAGTTACATGTACTGTATTACATAGATATATTATTTTGGTTTGAAAGTTAGACATCAAAGCTTTAAAAAGTATAGAACACATTTGTGACATGGACATGTCGTCTTACCTCCTTGGCAGATGAAGCTCATCTTGAGGCCACACTCAGCGCTCTCCCATCGGCCCTCATCTCCCAGAGCCGCACATTTCTGTGTGTCTGTATTCACGTATGATTTCCAGTTTCTGAAAGTGGAGGGGCTTCTGTCGGACCAGTGCCAGCTGTCCCGGAACAGGCCGATCAAACACCTATGGGAATCTTCCTTTAGCAGTTTCTGCTGGTCCTGTCCACTCATTAGGTCAGTGTGCTTTGCTCTGCAGAACTGCTGAGCCTCTATCCAGGTCCTTCCATTACTGGGGTCATGGATCTTGATGGCAGTGTTGGAGGACTCTGTAGAACAAGGGCCTCATTTAGAGAAGACGTGCCACTGGGTTTAGTATTAGTATTTAGTATTAAACTATTTCATTTAGAAAAGACATTTTCAATGTTTGCATAATGGACTTTATAGTGGCCTAGTGGCTGTAGGAGCTTTGCTTCACATTGGTCGCTTTAGGATCAATCTCGTTGGAAGGGCTTCTCTGCGGAGGGATCCTAGAACCAGATAAGCTCCAAAGCAATTGATCCTGGGAAGCTGTAGACACAATTCTGATCTAAAGTAAGGGCAGGATGATGCCCACTCTTAAAGCTACTGGGTCACAACAAAGTAAATACATATTCTTGTTTTTTCCATATAATAAATTACATAATATGTTGCATTATTTTTGGCCATTAAAAATTACATTGCGACTATTCACTGTAATTTCATGTTTTTAGTATGTGAATGTTTAGAAATGTGTGATCATCAGTAGAAAATAAATTGTGAAACAAGTAGCACAGGTAAATAATGATAGTAATAATCGGCTCTATCACTGTGCTATCACCAAGGAAGGAATAGTTGTTTATATGTCTGTAATATACCTCGCAGTCAGAATTCTTTTTATAAATAATAAACTAAGTAAACTCAAATGTTTTTATCCACATACTTCTATTGCACATTTGCCTGAGCAACTTGAGTCTGTGGCAATTCATTAGACTTCATTAGGTAATAAAATGAAGATAATATATATATAGTAAACTCAGAGAATCAGGCTATTTATTTTCATCCATTCAAGATTATAGACGTTTTGCATTCTAACATTCTGAAACATTCTAAATGTTTTAGAATGTTAGCTATTATCTTAGAAAAGTTTAATTGAGTTGAGCAGTGTTCATTCCCATTTTTATGAGTGGGAATTGGGAACTTCCAAGTTTCTGAGATGAAAAGTGGCAAGAGGCAAGAGCCTTTAGACAGTGGTAGAGTTTCATGTTTGAGTCAAAAATTCCTAATATCAGCGTGAATAGATCTAAAAACAACTCCAGATCTATTTTCGATGAGAGAACTGTCCCATGGCGAAAAGCTAAAAAAAATCTATTTAGCGTAATCTTCTTGTAGAACAAGCTGACTGTGATTCATTTGTATTTAAAAAGTACAAACGGTCTACTCACCATTGTAGCAGATAAAACATTCAAATTCAACGGCACACTGGATATCATTCCACAGGCCGTTGGTGTCAATCATCAAACAGTTTTGAGTTTCAAAGCCGTTCCCATCATTAGGCTGCCCTGTGATCCACGGGGTTTCTGCTTCATTGTACTTAACTGTGGGCTGAGACCAGTGCCATTCGCGGTCCGAGAGTTTGCCACTGGACTGTAGTCCAATCCAGGCATCCGAGAGTCCGTTTGCAGCCGTTTTCAGTCTCTGCAGGTCCTTCATGTCGCTCACTGAGGCCAGGTCTGTGTAGTGCCGTGTGCAGTGAGTCTGAGCATCAGACCACGACATGGGCTCTGCTACAAAATGGTACTCATGGGCCAGAAGCATTGGCCAACACAACTCGCCTGAAGGAAGAAAAAGAAATGAAACAATATCTTAAGGCAGTGATATCCAACCTTGTTGAGCTTTTGACACCTTTGTATTGTAAACAATCCTATCACACACCAGCAGCTGAAACTGATACAAAAATGAAACTCTGCTAAAACACAAAGTCATTCTCATCAAGTTTTATTGGAAGGTTTGGCTAGGCACAGTTTTAAAATGGTTCATCTCCTCTCTCCCAGAAAGAAAACAGTTCAACTTTCCCTACTTCCCTCACTGACTGTCTACAGGCTAACACAACTTGGATAACAATTAACAAACTCAACGGAAATAAAAGTGAAATACTCCTTATTGGTTCAAAACCAACTCTATCTAAATCCCCTCCTCTCAGTAGTTGCATTGATGGCTGCCTGGTTCCCATGTCTTCACGAGTAAAGAGTTTAGGTGTTAAACTGGACTCCACTCTTTCATTTACAGCTCACAGCAATAATACCAGTCGTACAGCCCTTTTTCACCAAGATTTCCCAACTCCGCCCATCTCTCACCCAACACTCCACTCAGGTCCTGGTTCATGCATTTGTCACTTCACGTCTGGACTTTTGTAACGCCCTTCTCACTGGTTTAACCCAAAAACACATCCAACGTCTCCAACATGTCCATAACTCTGCTGCTAGGATCATCACACGAACAAAATCAAGAGATCACATCACTCCGGTTCTCCTCTTCTCACATTTAAAGCTCTCCATAACCTGCCCCCCTCATACCTGCTCTACCCCTACACCCCGTCCCGCTCTCTCCTCATCTGCTGCTCTCCTCACTGCCCCCACCGTCAAAATGGCCACGATGGGGGCCAGAGCATTCAGCCACTCTGCCCCTAAACTCTGGAACACTTTACCGCTTGACCTGCGACAGTTACACTCATTGCTCTTTAGACATTTTCAAATCACATCTCTAAACCTACCTTTTTAAACTAGCTGATTCTTAGTAATTTTTATAATGTTTTATATTCTGTACTTTTAAAAATTTCTGTAAAGTTATTTTAATATATTGTATGGCGTCCTTAGGTGTATTGAAAGGTGCCATGAAATAAAATGATTATTATTATAAAAAGGCACACAAATGTGAGACGGCACACTGGTTGAGACACTTAAGTGTCCATCTCATTTTGGTCAGGGACAAGAAAAAAAATACGAAAATTTTATTTTTTATTTAAATTGAGTTTAAATTTAATTTCCTGGTAGTTTATCCTGAACAACATGACTTTGCGTATGCCTGTGGTCTGGGTCCTGATTTTGAATCTCACGATAAAGTAAATGTCGTCTGTTGCCAGCTTTTGGAGGTTAACTGCGTTTGAGTGTGTGGCTTATATAGCTATCTTATGTTATTAATTTACTTGTTTAATGTATTTAAAATATTACATATCTATTATTATTATTTTATTCATTGATATTTTCATTATCTTTTATTTTTAAATGTTTATTTTAACTGGCAGACGTGTGTGTCCATTTCTAGTTATGATTGTATTTTCATAACTAGTTTTAATGTTTGATGCCTGGTGCTCCTGCCACGCCTGTGTTTTTATTTCTCCTTCGTGTGTCCCCCTGTGTCCCACTATAAATTCAGGGTTTTCCCATTGCAATCCCGTTTTGAGGTCAGCTGCTTTATGTTTTATGTCTGAAAATGTCTATATTAGTTCATATTTTGTCATTACTTACACTCATTGTGTATAAGTTAATTAGTATTACGTTTATTGTCCCTTTGTGTTGAATTACGCATGCTAAGGCCAGATGTTGACCTGTCGCTGTCATTTCTTTTTAGTTTGGGCTGGGACTGTGTCACAGAGGCACGTGCTTAACAGAGCTTTATTATTGTGTCCAGATAAAAAAAAACGGCTCAAAGTCTACAGTGTATCTCACGAGTGTTTCTCCTCATTACACCTAAATAACACAAGGCATGACGGAAAACTTCAGCCCTGTTACAGCAGCACTTTGGAAACTTTTTGTGTTTCCACTTAACTATACAAATACATTGGATAGGATTTAAATTGTGTGATGATGTCATTTTCTTGATTTTAGAAGAATAGACAAATGTTCTGTCAGTGTAATCAGATGATTCAAGCATCACACTTTGCAACAGAAAAATGTAAAGTTAAATCTTTTGTGTAAGAAAGAGCCCAGTGAGTCACTAGTTATTGTTTTGAACTTAGATCTGAAAACCGATCAAAAGTAGAAGGAAATTATCCTATATTATGGTTTAAAGAAGTCCATAATATCAGAATCAGAATCATATATATATATATATTTTTTTTTTGAACCAGATATATTTCTTGCTTTGAGGACAAAAAGTCCAGTCAAATCAAAATCTGTATCCAGTGAATTATTATATTACAGAATATTCTGTAATCTATTATTTATTTTAAACATATTTGGGAAGAACTAGACAAATATAAGTGTAACTAAAACTTACTCAGCAACAGAAACAGCAGCAACGCCTGATCCATCTTCACCTGAGAAGAGAGAAGTCTTAAGTGGAAGATCTAAACCAGGCATGTCAAAGTAAAATACATCAGAGGGCCAAAAAAAAAAGTTTGCTACGAGCCGAGGGCCGGACTGGTTCAATGTTTCTCAACATCCAGAGGCAGTGCCGGTGACACCTGTTGGCTCGATAAAATATGCTCTAAAGCCAATCCTCATACTGTACATATTAGATGTAATAGACATCTGAGAACATGAAAATAGTTTAAAAAAACAAAGCTCAAACTTGGTGAAATGTAAAAAAGCAGTCTGGACCTCTTTTCGGGGCGTTTTTTGATTAAATCTGCAGAATGGATTACACTTTGGGAAATACAAGTGGATATTCTTCTTCAATAGACAGTTACGGAGAGAAAGAGACTAAGCAAGGATGGGGAAAGTCTAATTTGTTGGAGCAGCAGAAGACGAAAGGTAAAAAACGAATACAGACGTGATTTATTTTGTGCTCATATTATGCATTATATCTTTTTAATGCAATGTCTGATATCGTTTACACTTACATATAAATATAGCTGAGAAAATAAGATAAAATGATATATAGCTTGTGGCTTATGAAGTTCAAAATACATCTGCTATTGCCAGCAGATGTATTTTTTTCCTCATTTGCTTAAAGGGTCAATACATTGCCTCAATGGCAGGCAATGTCCCGGGGGCCATAGATAATTCATTCGCGGGCCAAATCCGGCCCGCGGGCCTTGACTTTGACACATGTGATCTAAACCAAGGCCAAACTAGAAGTGAACCAGGACTAAACCTGGACTAAAGCAGGTGTTAACCAGGACTACCCCTGGACTAAACCAGGTGTGAACCCAGTCTAAACCCCCGGTTTTTAAAGCGGGTCTAAGCTAGGTTTGAATCTAAACCAGGACAAAACCAAGTCTGAACCAGGTCTAAACCAGGACCAAATCAGGACCAAACCAGCTCTAAACCAGCTCTAAACCAGCTCTAAACCAGCTCTGCACCAGGTCTAAACCATAGTTAAACCATAATTAAACCAGGTCTGCACCAGGACTATAACAGGGCTAAACCAGGCCTGAACCAGGTCTTAAGAAGATCAACACCTGGGCTAAACGAGGCTAAAAACCAGTTGTAAACTTGTGCGTCATTTCACTGACCTTTTGTTACCTTCTTTTCTTGTTTTGTGAAGTGCTTTGAGTTTCCTTGTGCATGAATGTTGTTGTATAAATAAACCCGCCTAGCCTTTTCTTGATCTATCTGCCTCTCCATGTGGATTATTAATGATCTGTTATTTGAATAATCAAATGCTTCAATGGGCAGTTGCAAAAACAACCATCTGTCTGTCAATATCATGCTCCATCCTTCCCTCACCCCGAGACATCTGAACTCACCCACCTGGAGTGTTGTTGCGAAAACAACCCATCTAGATTGAACAATTTACCAGTGTATGTAATTAGAATATGACTTTCTTTAGATCCTCCCGAAAACCTTGTTTTTGCTTGAAATAAGATATAATCTGTTGAGAATGGTCTGAAAAATTTGTATAATTATCTGTAACATTAATAATCTTTATCTAACTAAATCTCTATCTCTATCTTAACGAAACTAATCAAGACCTTCAATTCAGTTTTAATCCTCTAGAACAGGGATGTCCAAACGTTTTAGTCAGAGGGCCACTTTAGTCCACAAACCAACAGCACGGATTGACTGGATTCAAGCTGTTCTGCGCTTTAAAATTAGTTATGACATGCCTTGGTTGTCCCATTGGTCCTGGATCTACAGCCCGTCCATCTGAAGCGAATCCTTCTCTCAATGTGGATTTCCACGAGGTTTCTCACTTTTCTCCAGCCGGGTTTTAAAGTTTTTCCTTGCCAATGCAGGAGGGTCTGTTAGACTGTCAGCGTCCAACAAGAGGGACTGTGGTGATGATCCCGGGCACTCTACATTCTACAACATTTATGGACATTTATCAACATTCATGGACATTGGTCTCTCCCTATGGTCCAATACACATTTGTTCTAAATTTTTGTGTCCTTTATTTTGTGTCTTAACTGTTGATTCTCTGATCTGTGTTGACAACTCTTTTGTTAAATTCTCTGAAATGACTACTGTTGTGATATAGGGCTATACAAAAAAAATGAATGGAATTGAATTGGTTCACATTTGACAAAGCTGAAGGTGGCTGAATGACAAATGTTTACTCACAAATGTTTTACTCACAAACAATCAAAGGAAATATCAGTATTGTCAAATAAAGTCAAGCACTGGATTCCAGAGATTTTTAGCTCCGCAGCGAGGTATAACGTGTAACGTGTAACGTACAACTTTGTTGACAGAGCTGCAGTTGGTTGGATGACACTGTGAACATATATTTATGATTTAAAAGACTACTTTGCGGTACCAAGAAAGGATGCCACATACAATTACTTGGAAGGTCGCATTTGGCACACGGGTCTTAGTTTGGACAATTCGAGTTGAATATTTATACAACAAGTAAAATAAACTGCAGCAGGTGGATTATGTTAGTAACCAGTGCTGTGTGTCACAAGATGAAAGATTCTGGCAACAAAAGGGTGATTGTACTGCAATTGTGTAGACTTCTTTGACAAGGCCAGTGGACAGGACCAGGACAGAACCAAGTGTCGCACCTCAACAGCGAAAGTTCAGAGCCTTTGGTGGAGAGCATGTGAGTCCATGGGAAAGAGCATATACGCTTTGTTAGCTCTGAGGGTCGTCTGTGCAAGAGCCAGATGTTGTGACCACATCAAGGATGTTTGTGCGCTAAAATAAACATTCTGCATATCGTCTTTTTTGAGGGTTTATTAACATTGCACTGAAAATAAAATCTCCTGAGAATCTGACCGACTATCACTTTAGAATATTTGAAATCCATCCAAAATATAAGTCGACCGACCGATCACAGAGCAGTATTGTGCTTGGGGGCGGGCAGATGGGAATGATATAACACTTGCATGGAGGGGCAGACAAGCCACAGCGTTCAAAGTTGTCTGCCCACTCGCACCATGCTGTCCCTAACATTGGAAAGTATTTTGGCCAGCTCTGGTTCTCTGGTGTTTGTTATGGACAAACTATAACTAGCACAGAAGTCCAACAACTGAACACTGCTCGAGTTCTTGCCAATCACCCCTCTCCAAGTGTCACTGGCTTTTCCCACATGTGCATTAAAATCCCCCAGGAGAATAACAGACTTTAAGAAGGCCAGGCCTTCTGTACTGCTGTTCGGCCCGTAGGCTGCCACAACAGTGAGAAGTTTGTCCTTCACCCGAAGGGAGAGGGACGCTACCCCTCTCATTCACCAAGGTGAACTTCAACACGTGGCGGCTGAGTAAGCCTCCGCAGCCTCTCCCCGAGAGCGTCCAACCCCTCTTTAGGAGTTGGGTTCCAGCCCAAGCTGTGTGTGGAGGTGAGGCCAACTACCTCTCAACCTCCTCCACGAGCTCAGGCTCCTTCCCCTCGTAAAGTGACATTCTACCGGGGGGACCAGGAACGTGGGCCGGGTTGTTGATGTCTCCGCCTTCAACTACCACTCCTCACGGCACCCAACCCCCATGGTGGTTAGTCGTCCTTACGAGCTGAGTCCGGCCGTGCGCAAAGACCCTCCCAACAGGAACTCGCACACAAGCTCCAACTCCAGGCCTTTCTCCAGAGTGGGGCTCCAGCTGCGCCATACCGGGCAATGTCACGGTTCTTGTTATGGTATCAATGGTGGCTTTTGTACCACGCTTTGTCTGACTGGTCATCTAGGACCTGTTTTCCATAGGAGACCCTACTAGGGGCATAAACCCCCAGGGAATATTTAATATTTTGATTATACGTAAACATTTAACAAATAAAACAATAAAACTGGAAACTATTATCAAGATCACAAGATTGGGCTGTGCTTTATCTGCTAGTCTGCACTAAAATATTGTTTATTAGTTTGTGAGATGAAATAACTTGAATAAAATGAAAATAGATCAATTTTGAAAAATACAAAATACACATATTTTGCTGAGTGAAGACATGTCCTAATGACAGGTCAAATCTGCTCTAACCAAGAACATGAGTTTTTTCCCATAAATTCTTTCTCTGTCGCCAGGCACTACCAGCTCTGCGGGGGGTCAGCAGCAGCGCGGGGAGCAAACTCTGGATTATATCCATTATTTGGTAAATAAGATGTCAACAAGGTGTTTCCCCTGACACTTTATTGAACTAAAAGCAGAGCGCAGGAATGAACGCCCCTGTGCTGAATGGGCCTCTAATCTCCTCCTTTATGCCCTCCGTCTTATGGGCTGCCATTTTGGGTCTGTGATGGAGTCCGGTGAGGCCAATGCTACCTCTGCCCTATACTATGCTATTTGGTGGTGTTTAAATCAATTTGATGATCACATACATTTCTGATGGAGGGCAGGGGACTATCACGTTAAAATATTTTTGTTATTTAGAGAGGTCTTTTTGATGCAAACATGCATAGTGCTTTACATTTAAGCAATAAAAAATCCCCTCCCACAACCACTCTTTGCTGCTTAAACATGCAAATACACTTACACACATGCACAAATGCACACAAACACAGACACACACTGATGTGATCCAGGACGCAGAACCATTTTAGAGAGCACCTTAGAAAACACCAGCAGACTATGTATGTACCTCTTAAAATAGCACCAATGGTCCAATTATTAATCTACAACAAATAATTCCTCTGGGGGAATTGAGAGGTGATCCCGGACCAGCTGCTCAGGGCTTCAATCCAACAGCATTCAAGCCCTATACCAGAAAAACAGCTTTTTGATATTTTGTTAAGATACTTTCACAAGATATACATATATTTATATATATTCTACAATAATATATAGAATATAACATAGTGGTGTGGAGCAGTAGTGTGTGTGCAGCCCTGGCAAAGTGTTTATAAAAGCCACTTGTTTGGGCACAATCCTTGAACTAACTTTCTTTGAGGCGGCAGTGTGAATCGCTGCAAAGCCCTTTCCCAAAGCTCTTTAGAAGGAGGCCTGGCCCATTGAGGAGCCCGAGGAGAGAAGGATTACCTTGCCCGACGGTGGTGCATTTCCGACAGAGCTGATTAGGCCCCCGTTCATTGTTAAATCGAGCAATGGAGAGGCTCTAGAGGAGAGAAAAGACCTCAAAATAGGTGGGCCTGCGGCAATAAAACAGCCGCAGGAAGCCCAGCACGGACGAGCCAAAGTTTTCCCAACAGCTCTTAAGCGGAGGTGCGTGGTGAAAAAGGAGATTAGCATACAAAATTAGAGGAGGTATGGTAACTTCAGCATGGCCCGTCCACCCCCAAGGTCTTGTCCGTCTGCAAAAAGTTAATTAAACTAGTATTAAACAGTGAATAAAGTTCCAGGGGTTCTTTGGGGGATTACACCCAGTATTTGTAGAGACGAAATTGGCAAAGCCGGTTCAATTGAGCACACTTTGTTGGCTCAAATCATGCATGTATAACTGTCACTAAGATGGAAGAGGATATTGGGAGGCATTTGTATGTATAAACATGTATTCTTTTATTTCAATGGAAAACTACATACAACCAACAACTATAAGACATACTGTGCAATAAATTAAGCATGTACAGTACAAAGTGCTTCATTTTATGTACATTTAAATACAAGGACAGGACACATGTAGAAGAATCAACGAGGCCCCAGTCTTAAACACACAGTGCATGTTTACACTGTAACAGGACGCATATGTTTGCAAAGAGACTGAAGGGCTCGGCCATTTGAATGCCAAAAAGGGACACATTTGAATTAAATAACTTTAAACAAATGCAGTCATGTGGACAGAGATCTGGAAGTCATTCTCAACTTTATTCAAATGCACTGAACAGCCAGAATTCATTAATTTGAGCTGACTTGAGTATAGTGAGAAGCCCTGCTCATTTCATTTTTAGTTTGACAGTTTCACTCAGGCTCTGGCGGTTACAGGCCCATTGTTTCCCAGCTGTTCAGTTCATCTTAGCACAACCGAGAATTAATTTTGTATTTAAGTTTCTCATTTATCACAAACAAGTATTCAAATGACGTACCAGTGATCTATATTTGTCACGGAGCAGGAAGAATGAGATATCACATCAACTCACAGAAATGTTTTGGGGAAGAAATAGGTATGACATGTAAAAGTACAAAAATATACATATTTAAACACATTTAGTTGGGTCAATAGCGCCTTGTCACTCATTATTGTGCTTCACAATTTTGTTCCAAACCCACACATAGGCTTTTGATAGTGCAGCGGAGTCTTCTGAATAAGGTTTGTGCCATACAGTTTGTGTAAGCTAGTGTTGTTTGTAGACTGCAGGAGTGACGTACAGACATTCGTACTTATCTTGACTAACTTTCAAAAGTCCAGAAGGCCTTACTTCAGTTTTATCTTAGAGAACTGAGTTACAATCAAAATGTGAAAAGAACTGTTTTGGATCACGCCTGAATGAATGAGCTTATTTTAAAACAATATTTGCCAATGGAAAGAGCAGCTAAAGCTATGGGACCACGACATGGTTTCTCCGACTTCATTGAAAACTGCATTGAGAAGCCCTCTGAGCCACTATTTGACGTTTTGGACTGAGTGAGGGTGGTCCCCTCTTATTCACTTTTCTTTCTGAAAACGTTGATCCAAAGATGTGACAAAGGCCAGACATACATTCATGTAAAAAGAGATAGGACCAAAATATGTTGGTGTTTGGAACTGGATTTGATTAAATAGTTGCAGTTTTTGTGGTTTCAAAGTTATGTATTCCGACTTTAAGACTTTTTTCATTTGATAATTTGTTTTAAGATTAACAGGACGTTTTATGTATTGATTGATATGCACTGAATATATGCACTTATGGCTTTATCAAATAAAAGTTTGATATATTTTAGCACTGAATTATTTTAATTCTTGCCACCTAACTAATAACACTTATTTACCCATAGTGTTTCAATTCAAAAGCGCTTCCTAAGAGCACTTAAAGTCACAGACTAATAATCTCATATTTTTCCTGCATGTACAAGTCAGCAAAATGTCTGTTCTGTTTGTACATTCTCATGTGTAGTCTTCAAAACGATTTGGAGACAACAAAGATATTTAAATAAGACCCTTGTATGCTTGCTTCCAGTCTGTCACATAGGCACTTTCAAACGTCCTGATGGCATCTCTCCTCTTAGTGCTTTTTCCTCAGTCGCAGACTTTTCCTCCGGGCCCCTGCGCTCTCGGGCCTCCCTCTGCTCCTTTTCACACAGTAATACTTGGTGACTGTCTTTCGGCACTGCTCGCACTTGACGGCACAGCACCAGTGGAACTTACAGTTACAGCTGGAGACCATCTCCGCCTTGCGCTCCTCCACGGCTAGACCGCACTCCCCACAAAGCCGCTTGCAGCTCCTCTTCTCCCATTTGGTCAGGTGCTTGCCCTTCTTCAGACACTCGCGCCCCTCTGTGCCTGGTAACCCCAACGTACGGTTCTCCAGGCAGTAGTCGGGGGAGTCCTCCAGATGGACCAGCTCTTTGCGGGAGATGGCGCTGAAGGTCTGGGCGATGGCTCCTCGACTGGCTGCGCTGTTGCCTGCTCCCCTCAGCAGGTCAACTTTCACCCCACGGTGGTACTTCTCCTTCAGGTAGTTCCCCACCTCCCGGAACTCGGGCAGCTGCAGCCAGCAGGTCTGTGTGGTGCAGCTTCCGGATACGCCGTGACATTTACAGGTGCGCTGCATGGTGCCTTTGACCGCCTGGAAGAGCAGAGATGCATCATTATGGTGCGCTGGGAAAGTTATAATCTGTTTACATTTGTGTCAACATAATTTTACCTGCAACACCAATAAATAAAACTGAAATTTGTTTATGTTGCTCTGTTGTTACTGTTCGTGGCAATGAAAGATACTGTAGGTCAAATGCAAAGTAAAAAATTCTAAGAAAAACCATCTAATTAACTGCAGAGCCTGCAGAGCGTATTTAGTATTCAATTCATTTTAGTTTTGTATATCTTTTGTGTGAAACCCATTAAACATTTAGCGGCTACTTCACGGATTTTGCTTAATACAGTGGGTTAGCAATACAAAACAAGTAAAGGCTTTGTTTTGACCCATTACATCACACTCTGTCACATTAATCCAACACTATTGATGCATGTATTCTTCATTTATTTACATTAACATTTCAAAACAACCTATGTTCATAAAAAATAAAAAAAATCTGACAAAGTAAGAAAAATAAAAAAAACATCAATATTACTAAATAAAAAATATATGTACACCTAAAAGAAGTTTTTGTCAGCACACCACTACAGAGCATGCATACATCTTTCATTAATTCATTCATTCATTTTCTACCCCTTTATTGGTCCATGCCTGGGTCAGGGGCATAAAGTTTTAGCTGGTAAATGAGTGAAGCGGAAACTGGATAGCACACTACAGACAGATGGATATTGATAACAACATACATCAATATTTTTGCCGTGTTTTGCTTCATGTCTAAATCTCGCTGAAAGAGGAGAGAGGCTTCCTGCTGTTTGACTGACGTGTTGTCAAGTGAACCCATTCTCCTCAAGTTAAGAGCAAAGCCTGAACCGCATCGCCGTCTCCTGCGTGCGCCCTGACTCTGTCTTGACACAACCCAGCTGTCGTTTGAAAAGAATCCCTCACTGAATCAAAGTTTCACATCGGGCCCCATTGTCTTCACCCAAAGCAAAGATGTATTTACTTAGCACTTTCATTATCAACATGTTTTTACCCCTATTGAGACGTAGAATCAAAAAGGAGTGATTCTCTCTTTATAGTTCCCATTCTGTTACATTGATGCTCCAGGTGCCGGGAGTTGGGGGGGTGGACAAAGACCACTCGAGCTGTGTGAGGTTCCCCGGGCCACACAAAAGCCAACCTAAATGCAAGATCCTTATCGCAAGAATATAACTAAACACTTTATTCTCAAAGATCTGTGGTGAACTGTCTGGCCCAGCGGGAAGTCTAATTAAAGCTGTACCAGCCAAACAGGGGTTTTTGGGTGGCAGATTGTGGCAAGGGGCTTTCAAGGCTGGTAAATGGGCCCTTCTGCTACAGCGAGCACACTGTTGTCATCGCAGGACGAGTGGCAGCTCAGTTATGGAGACGTGAAAGGGGACGCTTGGGTGGCGGCTCGCAGCAGACAGGAGGGGCTCAAAATAATGCACTGGGTGCAGATAGGTATTGTGCATGTGCTATGTCATTCTAATGTGCTAAACTGTAATATACATAATTCAAGTGAGACTTAATATGCACATTTTTTACAGAATTGTTTCCAAGGCTGTTTATGATGTTGTGATGTCACATGAATGCAACCTATTGTGTCATGTTAGAAATGCCATTATAAAAGCAGAGCGCACTCTGTCTCTCTTCTTCCACTCGATGTTAGAAGCGTAAGAGTGTCTCTCACTCTCACCTTGTCTCATTCCTTTATGTATATCCTCCATTTTCCATATATTTCAATTCATGATATTCAAGGAAATCTTCTTAAAATCAGATGTATGTGATAGGTGTGTATGATGAGTGCACTGTATGCGTTTTATGGCGTGTTAACAGTTCACTAAGCATTTCAGAAACTTACACTTTGGGGTGGACTGGATTGCTGGGTTTGTATCGTTAATCCTGTTCCTGCTGACCTTCAGGATCTTAGAGCAGCCCTCATAGAGGAGTTGAACAACATTCCACAGGTCACAATTGATCTGCAGATGAACTCTGTGCACATTCTTGCTGATGGACACACCACCTATTGACTTCTTACCTCTGTGACCCCTTTGCTGCTCTCAGGTCTCTCCTTCTCCTTACTGCTGCGTAACCTCAGGTTTAGTGAAGAAAGAAATCTATTCTTATTTGCTTAGAACTTAGTTCTTAGTGCATTTCCCCTTTTTGGGAAACATTCTAAGAACGGATGATACACGGATTTTGATGGATCAGATGTTGCATTTCATTTTTATTCAGTGTGAATCGGGATGATTATTACTCATTGAGAACTAAGGCACCAATATCCAAAAAAATTGCTAAATCAGGTATCAGATCTAAGCAATTGGTGCTTGGGCCTTTCTTTATTAAGTTCACCGATCAATTAAATGCTAATACCAGCCATTGCTCTAAGGTCTTACTGAACCAAAATTCTGATCTAAGCAAACTAGGATAGAACAGTATTAAGAGCACTGTAAATAAACAGCAACAATAGAAAGTCAATTTTGTCCACATTAAGGCTGCTTTTGAATATAAGCTGCAGGATTTCATGTTGAAGGAACTTAACTATCAGACAATGGCCTACTTTTTTAACTGGACACAACATGATTTAATAAGGAGGGGTTTTAAATCAATGTTGACTTGTTGTAGACAAAGCTTGGATACTTTGAGTTGGCAAACAGTAGCTGTTGGCTTTATGGGTACAACAATTAGTGTATGGCAATTTGATCCATGAAATCTTAAATTTGCTTGTAGGAAGTTTGTAGGAATGGCCTTTGAGCCTGAAAGTCGTGGGTTCGATCCCACCACAATACCTACTTCACAACTCCCACTGATGACTGCTGTTGTTGTGTCCTTGGGCAAGACACTTAACCCCACTTTACCTGAAGCCCCCGCTGAAAGATCTCAGCTCCTGTGGACTAGGGTTTAATCCCGGGACACGGGATTCCCGGGAAATCTGATCAAAACTCTTTCCCGATTCCCGGGAAATGTTATGACGGAAAACGGGAAATGAAAGTTAAAAAAATAAAAATACAGTGCGCTCCTATAGAGCACGTTTATTGTTGTTCAAAGTTCAAACATATTTCATTTACAATCAACATGTCTACAGCTGAGAGGATGACTCATAAATTGTGTTTTTGACAACAAATATGGGTCTTAATCGCGCTAAACCACGACTTGTAATGAGGCCAGCCTCAAGGTACGGGGCACATGTGAGCCCAGAATTTGGCTACGTCCAATTCTATCAGAAAGCTCCTTTCTTTTTTTCCATCTGCTAAGGGCAGCAACAGGTTTGGCTAACATATATATAACACATTTTAAGATAATATAAAATGCATTTAGGGTAATGCTCTGCTTCCAATGACGATAGAAATGATAAGGAAGAGAGGAGAAGGGTAAAAAGGTTGATATTAGAAATTGGATGCGCCCGAGAGCCGGCTGCAGCCAGCGAAAACACAGGAGTTTATGGAGGTGGCACCCGTTTTGTTTTACGCTTTAAAACTCTTTGGGCTTATTTCCAAATGGGGGATTATATATCTGCGCTCAAACTATTATCTGGACTTAAACATGAAACTGGTCTGAACTGAAGTGGTCTGTGCTGTTCATTAATAACTAAGGTAAGACCCATAACACAATTGGAAATGTGCCTTTTACGAACTTTTGCGTTTTGTTTGAGCAAACAATGCGGGCCATGGAAAACATTCTGCTGTAGCCAAACTAATTGTGAATAAGCCGCTTTGTAGGTTCTGTTGATTTATATGATATATGTTCATCTGACAGGGCTGAAGTCAGTGCCTCCAAACCACACCGCACGTCACTGGTCGACAAGTGGATTGCGCAAACATTTAGAATCTCATAATAGTGAAATTCCTGAAGAAAGCCCATCAACAAAACGTCTGAAAACGCTATGGCTACTTTAGAAAAGCTACTTTAGCAAGTCGCTTGGTGAAACACTAGTGGAGATGGCAGCTTTTGTTGGATTATATATTTGAGTGATATCATACATTACTTGGGCTAAAAACAACAACTACAAACAACAGTTATTTCCCGGGAAAGGCGTTGTTTTTTCCCGGGATTTGATACGTCTCATTTTCGGAAAAAATATTAAACCCTACTGTGGACTCACCACCTGCAGGAGGATCAGTGAGGGGCTGGTGCTATGTGTACTGGGTGCAGCTCTCTGACTGCCACCCCCCCGATCCAGAAATGGATTAAGGGGAAGAAAATGGATGGATGGAAGCGTTTGCCTTGTACGTATACACTTTTAGCAGTTTTGATTTTCCCAGTTAATAATTGAGCTTTACAGAAAGATAGGTAAGCATCTCGGGCATGATCATTTAAAATAGTGGGACCACTATTTCAACACAAAACATGCTGCAGTGGAATAACAACATCCAATTTACTTTTAGCATTTAATATTCCAACAAATTGAATACCCTAGTTGTGAAATGAAGCTCTTTTAAAGGCTAACCCAACTGTTATGAATGAACCGATCATGTGCGTGAGTGTGTCTATACCTTGCGGCCTGCCTCGTTGTTGTGCAGGTTCATGGCAGCACGCGCGTCCTGGCCCGTCTCCAGCGCGTCCACAAACTGTTTGGAGATGGCCTCGCCGAAGCCCACGTTATCGCTGCAGCCGCCCCACAGCCACCCAAGACCCCCTGGCAGCATACAGGGACAAGCATTAGAGCCTCTGGGTGTGGGGTGTGTGCATGTGGGACTGAGGGCACTGGTTGTTCTGATTCACCTTAACTGGATTCTATGGTTTCTATATCAATAAATGAAATAAACAATTAAAGTTGGATGTAACTATTTTGGTGAAAGTGAATTATGAGGTGTTTAACGCACTGTTGGCTGATGATGAAGGCACAGTCTATTTGGACAATAAACGTGCCCATCATCCCCACCAGTATTTGAGTCAAAATAATCTAAATTTTGTATAATAATTCAAAGAACAGAACACAAATAAAAACTCCTACACTGGCTGCATTCTTATATTGGCCGCAGGGTTCAAAGAAGTTGAAAAAATAATGTTTTATAGAGATTAAGTGAACCAACTAATTTTGACAAGCTTAATCATAAAAACCACAGCAACAAATAAATATTCAAATTTGTGGTTTCACACATGAGCAGCTCATCATATACCTCATGAAATTCCTCCGTGGACATTTGTTTAGCTGAAATGTAGTTTTCATGGGTAAATATTTGTAAGACATTATACAGTATTTGCTGGACTATGAGCCGCTACCTTGCTCAAGTTCTTTTAACTCTGTGGCCTTTATTACAGTGCCTATGAGTGTATTTTAGGGAAGGGTATGGATGCATCTCTTTCAGCTGTGAGGTCCAACGTGATGACACACACATTGTGGTTTTAATAGACAATATAGTCAACTACATAATATTGAGTCTATAGACCAAAATACTCAATCTCAACTCAATCTAAATAAACTTTCTTTTTTCATAATGAACAGTAATTAAATTGAAGACATTGGCTGAATTTCCCTAGAAAGGAGAGCAGAGCTGTTACCGCGCTGTCCGTTCCTGCTGTCGTCACAGCCGCAGTTGTCGAAGTCCCCCAGACTGCAGTTCCGGGTCAGTGTGTACATGACGCCTGCCGAGCTGATGGCGTGGACGAACGCGGCCTCGCGGTTTGCTGACCACATACACAAACATACATTTAAAGATAAAAAGCACTGCATACAGCATTTTGGCCCGACCAGCCAAGATCTTCTAATTACTGTGGACAACAATTATAATAATTGCTATAAATGTTAAGAGTTAATTTGCAAAAACAATTATCTCTGTTTTTAAAATGTGTCAAAAAATGTTATTCTTCAAGCTACAATAGTCGTCGCATTTTGTTATTGGTTGTAGATTTGAAATAATTTGGTCAAGAAGGAGTGAAGCTTTATTTGTATGGCACTAAAAAAGGATCTGGATTTTCAAAAAACAACTTAGAAAAGAGAAAATTGTAAGCCTTTTAAATGTGTTTTCTAATGGCACTTATCTGTTTTTGCAAATTAACTATTCATGTGTGCTTTTAGAAATAGAAGCATTTACTTTGCATTTGTAATAAACTGAAAAGAACTGAACTGGAAAAAAGGAGTGATTCAGGCTTGCAAAAGGTTTGAGACAATCTCAAATAAGATAAAAAACAAGAGCAGCTGCACAAGTGGATTTCATTTCTCAATTTCTCCTTTATCTAAGTAAAACTTGTGGCATCTTTGCGTAAAAAATTGTACAATATGTCGATTTCAGTCGGTGTGTAATAATTCTTTGTCTTGTGAAAGGCAAGTCTAATGGGGGGGAAAAAACAGAAATACATAAATACATTGAACAATCATCTAATAAACTTTTCCATACATCTGTATATTTTTTGTTTGTTGTTTAGTTTTAGTGTCGTGCAAAGCTAATCTGCAGTGTATGAATGTCCTCTCAGCCACGGCCTGCAGAGCACATCTGCCCTTTTGTGTAGCGAGGATCAGTTTCCAAACGGCACTGGTGCATGTTGTGAGTGGGATTAGAGTGTTTGTTTTGGCTCTGCTCAATGTGGCCACAGTTACAATGGACTGGTCAGAAGAAAGTACACACTGTAACATCGAGCTGGTCAGAAGAGAGTACACACATTGTAAGAATTGGCTGGTCAGAAGAAACCACACTCTAAGAATGGGCTGGTCAGAGGAAACTACACACGAACAACAATCTGGTCAGAAGAAACTACACACAGTAACAAGGAGCTGGTCAGAGGAAAGTACACACTGTAACAACGACTGGGCTAGAACAAACATAAAAAGTAGACATGTCTCAGTAAGTGGAGTGACGTTATGGAACAATCTCGATGACCATTTAAAAACAGCAAAAACACTGAATTTGTTTAGAAAAAGATTAAATCCAAGATTAAATCCAAAATTCTTGATAAATACCGAACAATAGTCTGAATATTTGTTACTTGGTTGTAGACTAAACCTTTACTTACTCATCGTTACAGAATGTTGCTGATACTGTATCAGTTTGTACCATATTTTTTCAGCTTTGAATATATTGTGTTCCTATGGATACTATCCGTATCCTTATACTGGGTCAGGTCAAATAAGTTTAACTTTGCATATTGTGATTCTGTTGTTTTGCTGACAGTTAACTGTAACTTTGTTTTCTATGCTTGACCGAATAAACTACTACTGCTACTACTACTACTACTACGAACAGGTCAGAAGAAAGTACACACTGTAACATCGAGCTGGTCAGAGGAAACACACAGTAACAATGGCTGGTCGGGGGGTATACACTGTAACTAGAGCTCAACTAGAGCTTTTAGAAAAATCTGCCCAAACTTCTCTCTGTCACAAGGAGAAATTAAGGAAGGACCCAACAAGCAGGAATGCAAAAATAATGATTTAATGACGGGGAAAAAATCTCCAGGGAAAAAACTAACAAAACAACAACAAAAAACTCAGGAAGCAGGACAACAGACGAACAAAGACAATGGACCAGCAACAAATAGAACACAGGTACATATAGACACAGAGAGACACAGGTACATATAGACACAGAGACATGGAGAGACATAGGTACATACAGAAACAGAGACGCAGGTACATAGACACAGGTACATACAGATACAGAGACGCAGGTACATATAGACACAAAGAGACACAGGTACATACAGATACAGAGACGCAGGTACATATAGACACAGAGAGACAGGTACATATAGACACAGGTACATTTAATTCTAACCATGTTGTTTATTTTACAGTGCACAACCTTAGGCCTTATTTAACTTTGGTCCAGTTTTGTTTTAATCCAAGCCAAACTATTCATTTTAAACTAACTAATCACTAAATACAGTACTTCCATAATGTGAAAAAGTAAATAAAAAAACACACCACAAATGCACAATCCGCATTTTTCAAGTTGTCCTCTCTTATTCCATCACTATACATAAAATCATTAAGAAATCCTTTTTGAAAGATGTGGGAAACATGAGAGGTAGTATTAGCTCCTACACTATGTTTATTTGCAGACAAAAACAAATTTACATCGGCCATCGATCTGTCGATAAGTCATCACTCCGTCAAACTTCAAAAAAAGTGGCCTCAGAAAGGGTATATAAGTCAAGGACGAGGCACAACTGGGCAAGATGATAGATATATATGATATATTCATTTTGGCATTTTTATGTTTTAGAATTTGCACATTGATTTCACAGACAGATGCGTGGGAGATTGTAATAGTTGAAAACGCTAGAGAAAAGGCGTTCACTGGGCACTGCAGGCCTATCACTGTTCACACCACACTACACTGTAAACACACTCCCAGGTTTACTGGACTTTTCTCTCTATAGTGTTAAAAGATGATACATTATTTGAAAATATAAAATATATGATGGAATGGTTATTAGAATGAGCAACACCCCCAAGATCAAAACATTCTTCAAGATTTACATTTGATTTAAGTCTAACGCGGCGGCCTATTTGAGGCCAATAATACAGAACGTGATTGGATTGGATGAAAACTTACTAATTTAGAGAAAATCTTTTGTTTTAAATGGTGTGGAATATGTCATGGTTTGAAATGTAAATATTGCTTGCAGCAGACTCACCACTGCGCAGGCTGCTGTGAGTGGACAGCTGCAGGGCACGCTCAGGACAGTTCCAGCGGTCCCACTCAAACTGGTGCTTGCACTCCTCGATGCCGCTCTGAGCCCCGGCTGCCACACTGCTGGAGTAGATCAGATAAGCCTGCAGCAAACACATTTATTATATTGTATTACTTTATTTGAATAGGGAGAGTACACAATCATCAACATTATACTGTAAATGTGCCAGTATTAGCTACACAACTATATTTGAACACTTTTGAGCTCTGTAGTCCCGTCACTCGCTGTCCAGTTTCTTGGGCCCAAAACCAAAAAAAACTTCCGAACAATAATCAGCTACGCAGAAATTTCTGACATAATGTTTCAAACTAAAAAGAAGACATCATGTTGAAGAAAAGGCAACGAAACAATGCAGTGTAATTCCTGATTATAAAATCTCTGTTTCCCATGAACCATTGCAGCACGGCGTCTGAGGTAGGTGAGTTTTTTTTACCTAAAAATGATACATCACGTCTGCAATGGTTTCACACAAGTATGTAGTACAATATCAGGACTAAAGAATTCTGGGTATTGTAGTTCTAGGACCAAGATCTTGCAGGTAAATCATATCATTCAGAAACTAGATTGATCTAACATACTGAAGACGATGGCAAAGTCTGGAATTATGTCTTTAATTCAGACAGAAGACATGTTTTATTGTTGATGGTAGAGCACGAACAAGAGCATGAACAAATAATGTTACAAACGGCAAGTGATAATATAGCATGGAGGAATGAACACCGTCCAATCAGCTTTTGCCGCGATGCCAGTAGCTTGGCCTTCAGATAGACAAAACATCAAGTGGAAAAGTACTATCTCCTGCAAATGTTAGAATGAGTTTGAACTTTAACCACAGTTGCTTTAAAGTGTCATGAAATATCCAAAATACTTTTCACCAACAGCTGACTTTGAGATGTTATCACCACAGAACTGGTTTCAGCCCAAACTGCTTTTTCTGAAATCCATACAGCCTCATAGAACCATGGATTTTCATTCCGGACCCTGAAGCTCTCGCACTTACAAGCTCAATAAGGACTATGACACCCTGCACCAACAACACTGCATTTCCTTTATCATTTATACAACATTATACCTCATGGGACATAAACAACTAGAATCAGACCAGAACATTCTGTCTGCATCTAACTAGAAAACATTGTTGCATAAAACAAAGTCAGAAAGACTGCTGTGGGTCAGTATTTGATGCTTTGGGTTGAGCGGTGACTGTGTGAGGGTGGTCCTCTCTTTTTCAGTGTTCTGTCTGAAAAACCAGATCTAAAGAAGTGATAGAGAAAATATATCCATGTGAAAACTAGTGATGGAAGCAAACTGTTTTGAGAGCGAGGAACTTACTTAAATGTGCTTTGAAAGGTAGGTACCGCTGCTTTTTTGTTGGAAAGTATAGTTTATCACTTTTATACCTTTTTTACTATCAAAGTTGGTTTCAAGTAATTATTTTGCTTTCAGTATTTTCCAGCTATGTCTAATTGGTCATTACAAACAGTATGCGTTGGTCCTTTTCAACTGCTGTCACAAAATAACAACTAAACTGACAAGAGAAAGAGACACCTTTTGGAGACAAGCACTGGAGCTTTCTGATCGGTCCAAATTACTTCAAATCCTTGAGGCCCCTCGTCATTGGTTTAACTAATCTCCTCAGGCAAATATATTACTGGTCGTAGTTAAGCCATGGGGAGGGACTTTTTGAAATATTTTGTTGTTGAACAATACTTACTGTAAATAAAACTATAGTCCCCCTAGGTCAGAAATAGACAATCTTTTAATAAGTGAAATACAATTTAAGTTGCTAACAACACTTTTAAAGCTGGGGTACTTGACTTTCAAAGATGATAAAACAGACAAAGTGAAAACCAGCAAACCATCAGCTCTCAGGCCAAAGAGTCAAACAGGGCTCATTCTTACAAGTATGCAAATGATAATGTTTTTGCATATTGAACACAGAATATTGTGGTCTGATTTGTTTAAATAATTTTATATTTGAGGCACTTTCCATTGGGATAAAGAACATTCTCTATCAGTTCTGTGCAGTAAGTATTGAACCGAAGGGATTCATTTTGTGCTAAAGATGCAAATGAATAAGAAGATGCAAACTTTTGAATATAGAAATAACAGTGTTCTCTTTAACATTTGTATTGACGTTTGATTTACTTGGATCCAGTGTTTGGGAGAATACTTTGAAAATGTATTTAGTAGTACAATACAGAACACCTGCAGGAAATCCTACTACTACTACTTTGGCTGTTACTCATACTACTACCACTGTTACTACTATTGCTGCTACAACTATTATGGGAAATCTGTTTTTTGGTCCAATCAGAGTACTGTATTCTGAATACTTATACCTCCATCTGCAGTCCTCAACATGTTTTGTTATTGACAGTACATTTTAAAGAATTTGCTAAAACTGTATTCGTGTGGGACTGAAATATATCTGGCTTTTCAAAAAGCTATAGGTAAAAGGCAAATTGTGTGTTTTTCAGATATTTTTCTTATGGTACTTTTTTGATTACAGCCACTTTTCAGCCAAACCTATGACAATCCACTGTAATATAGTTTGATGGCGAAGATGATGGAAAAACAAAAGGTTAGGTACCCCAGCTTTAATATACAAAAGGCGTAAAGCAACACAAATATATATAATACGGTAGACTATTTGCCATGTTTTACTTTTTTTTCTTTTTTTTAAAATTAAACCAGCTTCTCTGTTACATCTGCCACTTCCCCATTTGAATTGCGACAAAAGTAATGCCGCTACCTATTATACCTCTCCTTTTTTTCTAAATTCGGGCTCAATAGATGTTATCCTATTCAATGAATCCTTCCCCGATAAACAAAAGTGCTGGAGCTGTTTATTTACAGACACTAGCTCTGCACTTGTCGTATGTGTGGGCTCTTGGGCTCTTGGCTTTCACCCGCTGCTTGTTCTCACTATAATATAACTAATATGTCTCAAGTGGCCTTTGCTGCTATGGAGTGGTCCCCTTTATTCCCCCTATAGCTGTCCTCTCACTAATGATGACCACCCACTAGAGCACGGCCTCCCCTTCCGTGGCTCCTGTCTCTTCACACGTTCAGCTGGAGATGCGGGGGCCCACGGTAAGGTCAAGTGAGAAGCCAATAGAGCCACAAGTCTGTCATATGCGTGTCATTTCAATAAGAGTATATATTTTTGGACGGGAGAAGGGGGAAAGATCAAAAGAGACTTGGCTTACCTTAGGTCCAGTCATCAAGAAATTATTCACTGACCTGGAAAAGAAGACAAGCTTTAGTCTGGGAGGCTCAGTGTCCTTCCGCAAATTCCTCGGCTAACATCTCTCTCATTAGTGCAAGCATTTGGAGCTGTGTGGGGAGAAAATGGGTTGGTTTGGAGAGTTTTTTTGTTGTTGCAAATGTATTCATATAATTCATGTTATTCCTAAAGATTTAGCTCTCTTAAGTAGAGGTTACATTTTTCATTTGTAAATAGGCTTCATTTGGAGTTTAAAATAATATTAACTACAACGATTACATTTACTACTACTACAGCTATTATAACTACTTCTAACTGCTACTATTACTGCTTCTGCTACTGCTACTGCTACTAAAACTACCTTCTACATCTACAGCATCATCTGCTGCTACTACTACTACTACTGCTACCTACTGCTAATTATACTACTATTGATACCTACTACTAATTATACTACTATGGATACCTACTGCTACTAAAGCTGCAACTGCTATATTTCTACTTCTGCTACTAGTAAGTAGTAAGTAATCTTTATTTATATACCGCCTTTTCACTGCAGATCTGAGTCTCAAAGCGATTTACAATTGTTAATTTTGGGCATTTGTCTCTCACTCCACAGATGGGAGCGGGGTCACCAGTACAGGAGGCGCATGCCAGAACTATTGGACATATTTTTTGTGGTAGGGGAAACCGGAGTACCCAGAGGAAACCTACGCAGACACGGGGAAAACATGCAAACTCCACTCAGAAAGACCCTGGTCCGACCGGGATTCGAACCCATGACCTTCTTGCTGAGAGGCGAGAGTGCTATCCACTCAGCCACCGTGCCGTCCTACTACTGCTATCACTACTCTGTTCCTAGTACTGGTGCTACTAATACTACTACTACTTCTAATATTACTACTGTTACTACTTCTGTTGCTACTACTACTGTTACTACTACAAATATTACTAATTCTACTACTTCTTCTACTGGTACTATTACTGGTACTATTTCTACTAATACTACTACTGCTACTGCTACTACTACTGCTAATACTTATGATGTTACTGTTACGGCTACAACTACTACAACTAATTGTGCTACATGTTTCAAATTAGAATAAAGAAACGGATTGACATGTGCAGCACAAGAGCTTCAGAAGTCATTCAAAGACACAAAGTACTAATTATAGTAAACCCACATTTAGTAAAGGGACAGATTATATAGTAACACCAACAACCGTATTTGGAAGCAGACCACACATTTCTCACCAAAAGCAGGTGTAATGTACTAATGTGAAGATAAGATAAGATAAGATAAACGTTATTGACCTGACAATGGACAAATTTACATGTTACATTAATGGGATCACTCAGGGTGTGCAAAGACAGGAAATAGGCAAACATGTTAAAACGTGAAAAGATATAGCTTATGTGCAATAAAGGTATTTTATGTACAATTAAAAAGCCTTGATGTTTAAGTATCATGCAGCGCTATTATAAAGGAGTACTCTGTGTACAACACAAGGCCACCATTCTCATCCGTGCACAGCCTTTCCATACTTCTACAAACTTTTTCACATTTTATTCTCATCGTACAGCTGGTCAATCTGTTTATTGGCCAGCTACTATTGTTGCTTCTTTATTTTCAACACCAACTATTTTATATTGTTGCAAGATGCATTGTGTCATCTGTCAAGTTTGTGTAAGTATGTCATTCCCAATAATGCAAATGAGTTGCTTTTTGAGGCAGTGACTAAGCAATATTGGTAGAAGTAACCAGTAATTTTGCAAAATAACTTAATAACAATATATTTAAGTCTCCCTATGTGCAAACGAAAATTCCAAAAATGTAAATAGCAATAACATTTTTTTTCTATTATCTTTACTGAAAACTGGCCCACAAGACAATAACAATTCCTTAACTTTTCCAGACTTGAAACTATCCCATTGTAAAACCTGTCTGCATTTTACTTTGAAAGTGGTCCAAGCAAATTCACCTGATAACATAGCCTCCACACAACCCCTTTCCAAACCGCACAGACACCATCAATTTCCCGAGCGCAAAAGGGCCAGTATATAGCGATTACCCTTACCAGCACGCGTACGAGTTCATGTTGGCCAGCAGCAGCACCACGTAGCACAGGACCTCCAAATGCATGAACATCCTGACAGGTGAGTGTCCAAACAGTGTGCCAACGCGCGATCAACGCACCGATCGATCCGCTCCTCCACAAAACAAGCCCCAGAGGATCCAAGGAGGGGGCTTCTGAAATGGAGCTACTCTCGTCCCCAACAAGAGATTATCTGCTTAATTAAAGATTTTCCCCCTTCTTTCCCCCTCGTCCAATCAGCAGTGGAGAGGCCTGACATGATCAAAAGAGCACCCCGGGCCTTCTTTCGCCTCCAGGCTTCCATTCACAGGCGCGCGGATAAATTCTAAGCCCCAAAAGTGTAACAGTGATCCCACGTCGTTGTAAAAGTTCATTTTGAGGGAAATTTGACTTTACGCGCAGATGTTTGTAAGGATTAGCGAGTGGATATCGGTTCTGGTTGTGTGTTTTCACAGCAATAGAGGGACTGCTACCGATTGGTTTCGTGTCAAGCGTGATTCAATCAGCGCGAATCGATTTACAAGAAGCTCCTGCGCAGAGATTTTACGCGCGAGTTTGTGGTCCGGGTTGAGCCGTTTTCAACCTGTTAGAGAGAAATTAAAAAAATAATTGTATAGCCCTCGATCACAGTAGTCGTCTGAACAAAGGTGTCAGTTCGCTAAAAACAATTAAGAGAATCAAACACAAGAAGTACAATGATAACACAAGTAGGAGCCACTGGTCCGGATGACAAATGCCCATATATGTTAATAAGGAACTAAAAAAACATCCCATGTTGAAGAGAGGGATCCACTCCTATTGGACAGGCTATAGATCGAGTACTCAGGCTGTATTTATCGAAAACGGCATAAGGCCACCCCACCTTTAACGTGTAGGATAGTGCTGCTGTCATTGAGAATGCCACGGGACCACTAAATGTTAATTTTAATCTGAAATGAGATTTTCCAGTAGCCAGTATAGTGTTCAGAATAATTGCTTGTTGTTTTCTTAGTTCATGTCGCCCTGCATGGCAGTTAAAACATCGGGAAACACATGTATTCTTTATTAGCAATAAAGCAATTAAAAACATTGGGTTTTGAAACGACGGCTTTCAAAGTATGTGGAATCAAGGACATTTTTGTTGTTATTATTATTATTATTATTATTATTATTATTATTATTATTATATACTGTTTTAACTGTTGTAAGCACCATACATCACCACAAATACTTATGTATGTTTTAGTCTACAGATTAGACAGTTCACTGTTTATCTGTGTCATGATTTCATTTTCTTTTTCACAGCATATATAAAAAGTATATGTTTCTTTCCTTGCTAAGCAGATCCCACGAAAAGAGTTTTTTCCCCAGTGCAGTGATCCCCCTATACAGAAAATAAAAGGTAAGGGATTGTGGCAGACTGAAGAAGGCCGAGCTATTGATCAGATAGAGGGCATTTGCATGACTAATCTAGACGTTCCTAGCTCACACACTGGATAAAGGCGATTCCCGCATAACCCCGTCTGACCCAGAGGTCCCTTTCCTTTGGCACAGGCAGCCCTTTAGCCAGCTTCTTTTGTGCAAATTAGGATTAGGGCGAAAAGTGATTTGGGGAGGACATCTGAGGGATGTTTTTGGATTGAGTTTTAAAGCGGAATGACACGGAAAACAAAGGAGGGATCAATGTGTTGTTTTAGGTATTTTTTTAATCTGAGGAAATGCGAATGCTTCTGTGGACCCGCTGTGGGTGAGGATTGGAAAAGTGAAAACATTATGTAACGAAAAACATTCAAATGGGCTGACGGTGCATGGTTTGCCTGTGCGTAATGTGCGTAATGGCTGTGCGTAAGATGACAGATGCACTCTTTGAAATGTTCTATACATAATTGAATCTGGGAATTACGTGTGAAAGTAGAACATCTCGAGGACTTGAAACCAGAGGCGTGAAAGTGGCATTTGACCAACATTACAGCACTTCAATAAACTGTATGTATTAACCTTCAACCACAATATTGCAACCACACACACACTTATACAGTATATGATCCAAACAATGAACATATTCAAAAATCTTGTAAAGTCGTATAAACCTGGTAAAAACATCAAATACGCCTTTTGGCACCAAACATTTCCAATGGCACGAAAGGGAAATTGGGCGAATCTGGAACTATGAAGAAACTATTGGTTAAAACACTTAACACTGTAAAATTGACTTTTGATTCTAACTTTACACCATTGTTTCTCAACAGCAGATACATGGACTCCTTGAGGTACAGGAGGGTATTACAGAGGGTACATGAACGCCTTTGGTACAAGAGGGTGATTTTAAAAACTTGCAAACATTGAGAGTAAGTAGGGCTATTATGGCATGTTATACAAGATTTTAAAGATTCATTTCTCAAAGAATCAACCATGGAATTTATTTTAGCCCAGATTTTTTTTAATACTTACTTAGCTCTACAATATTTGCTGTCACATTCTCTGAGTAACACCTCCACAATGGAACAATGTCTTACACAAATAAATATTCAATAATTTACTCTCTTTTTTTAACTCCAGCACATATAGTGGATTTTGAGAACGTGTGTCTCAAAAGTGGTTAGGTCCAGGGATAAATTCTACCTCCAGGCCTTTCTGTATGGAGCATGTTCCCTGCGCTTGCCTCCGGGTGCTCCGATTTCCCCAACCATAAAAGACAATGGGCCTGAATGTAATGAGAGTGAATGGATGCTGAGGGTCAGAGGCTTAGATGCTAGGGTGTTCGGCGTATCACTTCTGTTATCACCATATATGGAGTGAATGGAAATTACTGGAACACATAATTATAAAGCACTCTGTGAGTCATTGGTCTGTGAATCTGAATTTATAAATAGAGTTACTTACTTTTGTTTACTGAAGTTCCAAAGTTTAGGCTTATACCTTTGCCACACCTGGTGCTTGAAGGAAATAAAAAACTGAAACACAAGAATTTATTTCACCTGTTCCATGTTTTTTGTCCGCTTAAAAAATGAGGACAGAATTGCTGCTGAACTACCACCCTCTTCTGGTCATATGGAGGATTGCGTAGCCTCATGTGAGAGACCACATCCAAATGTATAACATAAAATTCTAGTTGAAAGAGATTAATTCTAACATACACTGCTTTACACCGGCTCCAAAAGAAAGAACATTTTATATAAGTATGGATGAAAACAACACAAAACATTGCATAACATATCAGCATGTTTTATTATTTTACAAAGAATGTAAAATACACAAGTCAACAAAAACATACATTGTCGTAAGTGTATGTCTTAAATCCATATGAACCCTGGTCTATGGCAGAATGCACAGAAGAGTGGCTCAGCTTTATAGAACACACTTACATATAACGTTATTGTAACAAAGCCCACATATTCTTCAAAATATGTTTTTTATCTAATCCTTCATATATTTTACCACCTTATTTTCAAAGACAAAATGAATGAGGTCAGAAGAAGACCTCTGTTCAAAGTGACGCCTCATATGGATCTCTGTCAAACCATAGTGTTAGAAGTGTTACATTTCCACAATGACTTACAGCGTCGTATTAGGGCCACTTACAGCGAATCTATATTTTTGGATAAACTATAATGATGACCATCATTTGGGAGACTGTCATGCTGTTACCTACATTCATTTGGCTTTCATTGCCAAAATGTTAAACTATTACAGTATATATTTTGGAAAGGGATATGGTTCTTAAGGTATTGCATGTATCCAAACATCTATGAAAAAAGAGGCCTTTTCCTAATCTGGGACTATGCTGCATCCAAAAGGCCGTGTATGAGACTTGGGCTGTAACAGCTAATCAATTAAATGTTTCAATCAATATTATTTTCAAAAATGTTTTATTTGCGTTCATAACTACTTAGTTATTCAAAATAGTTGATGGACTGTCAAAACAATTGTTAGTGACAGTACTATATGAGAGGGCATCTCCATGATGAGTAGACTTTATATCATTTCAATTATAGGCAACACAATAAAAGGAAGGTGAATTGGAGCCCTAAAAAATATAGATAAGCCATTTCCAAACTTTTAAAGCTTAGGAAAAGTCACAGTGTGGACGCAGACGGGCCACACAATCCTCACAGTTAGGAACAACTGTTCATCTTATAATCAGTGGAATACGTACTCGACTGAAGTAAAAGTACAGATACAGGCAGAAAGTAGTTTTAACGACTATTTTAAAAACCAATTCATTGGCGGATTAATATTTAAATTAATCGATTAGTTGTTTGGATCCTGGATCAGGGAGGGTCTTACGGGGGACAATGGCACATGTTTATTTTGGTAGAGGAAACCTACGCAGACACAGGGAGAACATGCAAACTCCTCACTGAAATGCCACGTCTGGACGTGTTCAAAGAGATGACTTGTTACACATTGAGCTGTTTGTTAATAATACATTCTAGAAGGATTTGGGACATAGAACCTCTGCTCAACATGTTTAAGTCTATGGAAGGTTCAAAATACAATTAATCAATTACTAACTTAGTTGACTATTTTAATTATCAATTAGTTGTGATTAACTTCTTACAGCCCTATTAAAGTTAAAGCATCAAACAGGCATCTTGATAAGAACTTTTTAAATGTAAACTGTCATATTTATTTACAGAAACTCCAAACATCTATGAAAAATATAGAAAAGTGTACAGCTTTGCCTTTGCTAACAATGTGCTATGCGGGTCCAAACGGGTGAGTATTGTCTCAGGCTCTGAAGAAACTCCAAATAAATAAATATAGCAATGTTCCTGTTCTAAAATTACATACATTTCGTCTCTCAAAACTGCAGCCTATTTCTTACTGACTTAGTTCTCCGTCTGTGCAGTGGCCCTTATACGTCTGCCTATATAAATATTTTATAACACACACATTAGAACATCCCACTCACACCAAGACAGAGCGACTGTGCAAGTACTGCATTTGGACCGTTTATGTTAGCTGCACATCTGTAGAAAAGCAAAGTGATTATAAGCCACTTCATTTGTGTTATCAAAGGAGCAATATTCAACTTCACATTGACTAATCCATCCATGCACAACCATTCTCAAGACAAATTGAGTTTGGTTGGAAATGGATAGAACACTGAAGTGCTATTCTGAGGAACAATCCGGGAAAAAAACATGTTTCCATCAGAGATGCAAAGTTACATAGTGCTCCTTTAAATATAACTGTAATTAGTAAACTGGAAATGTTTGTAGAAAGAAGACATATTATCCTAAATGGAGATGGAGATCTTTTTTTTCACGTTGACAAAAAAAATGGTATTTAAGATAACTTGAGTTCACCCATTTCTTGTGTTTTCCCCAATAGACGAAGAAAATATGACATATAATTTCAAGATCTTTTAACATTTTAGTCCAGGGGCATCCATCCTTTCAGCAACAGGGCCAGAGCTCGTTGGACATGTCCAGGGCTCCACAAACACTTGTGACTGTATTCTGGCTGTTCCGAGGGTTAGAATAAGGTATGACATCACGTTGTACAATATATAGATTCAAATTGGACAGAGCTGGAGGTGTCACCAGCTACAGTAGAACTGTATATGCAATCTTGTGCCACAATTACAAATAAATGTTTTGTGTGAAACGGCTGCATTCAAGCAGCTCTGAGCTTTACAATGAGGTATAGCCTATAATAGCAACAATGTGGGCCAGACTTTATACATGCCTAGTTTAATCAATGTGACAAAAATTACTTTGTAAACAAATTATAAAATAAAATATAGTGTAACATAATAAATTGATCTACCCTAATCAAAAATACTATGATGATAACTTCAATGCACAGGATTTTTTTATTACAATCTATAATTGTTATGTTGTTTTAAAATTGATTGATGCATGCCTGAGTGATTTTTTATCATAGGAAAAATGCAATCATAATAGAAAACTTCACTTCCCCCTTAAACCCCAATATAATAAGGCCTTGTCCAATTGCATTGAAAATAAGACAAAGATAAGTACAATATGTCTTCTTTGAGAATGTAACAAAGTGCCCAGAGTATGCTGCGGATAAAGCACACAAATAAATAAAATATAATCCTCATCACATTTGACACACATGTGCACGTTCTTCCCAATCATGAAAACAAGTCATAAATAAAGCATTCCAAACACACACCAAACATGAGATGTGTTAAAGCATAGTAAGAATCACTCCACCTCTCCCATAAGACACATATGCGATGTGGTTACGAGACAGACTCAGCCACTCTTGCTCCCGGTGCTGGTTCCGGTGTTGGGGTCTTTGCCGGTACGCTGCATACGGGCCAGGACCATCTCTGGGGTGGCCTTCTTGCGCTCAGAGGCCAGGCCCAGTGCACACATGAGGTCTATGAAGGCTGTGGTGGGGTTCAGCCTCCAGCCAAACTCACTGGTGCTGTAGTCAAAGGGGAAGGTGTGGTGGTAGTTGTGGAAGCCCTCGCCTGCAGGGGAACAGGGGTGACACGAGGTATTTAGGGTCGCAGACTTCCAACGGGAATCCGTCATTATTGTGATGGGCCTGTCTAACTCAAAATGCATAGCCCTAAAGAGCGTTACAAATAGGACAAGAAACTGGCAACCCAAATGAGACACACATTCTGCTCTGATTGGACAATCTGCATGAAATCCTTTAACATACATAAATTTAGCCATTGATGTATTTTAAACTTTTGTTCGGATAATATGATTTGTACTTGTGACCTGTTATTCAAATATTATTCAAATATTATAAATACTATCAGTATACTTGTCTTACAGTTTGCAAAAGCAAACATCTGCCAGATTTAGTGTTCATGCTGGCCCCGGCTGTGGCCTTGATCTGCAAGGATCGATGCTTGAGTGCAGGTTATGATCCCTCAGGCCAAAGCACTGGTGGTGGAAACAGGGATCCACGGGCAAGGTGGATGTGAGTGTGCAATGTTTGGTGTGCGGTGCCCTGCGTCCAAGCACTGGCTTGATTGGGATGGCTGGCAGGGGAGTTGAGGAAGCTGATGTGATGGCGTGTGTGGGTAGTCTACCAGTTTGAAGTTACAAACTGCTTAAGCTTCATTTTGTGAATTAGACATTTTTAATAAGCAAAACAAAGTAATCTCAAAGTCACTTTGACACTGCAACTACAGAGTAACTTATACATTTTGTATAATGCATGTGTGAAAAGCCTGATCCTGGTAGAACTCAGAAGTTATACATGGCAGGAGCGGGTTAGTACTGTGATGGGAGACCTCTGGGAACACTATGTTCAGCTGTTAGGGGCCAGACTGTTGTTGTGTCTTTAGACAAGACACTCCACATTGTATAATATGAGTTTGGTGTGTGTGAATGATTGGAGGTGGTCAGTGGGACAAATGGCACAGACTTAGTCTTTGGTTGTCATGAAAAGCGCTATAAAAAGGTCAAACGCTGAATATAATATCATTCAAAAGACCATGTTCTGACTCTTGTTATACTTTGTTATAATTTGATAATTGGCTCATAGCTTGGACTGTAAACCATAATCATCAAGATTATAACAAACACGTATGTGTCTTTGCAGGTATGTATTGGTTTCACATTTGAAGTTTAATTACAGATATTCAATATTTTATACAATATTGAATGTTTCACCTGTAGGTAGTAAACATTATTATTATCATGAACTGTATCATTATGTCACTTTGAACCCTAATACCAAGACATTCCATGTTATGTATCTGTATGTAGTTACAACAGCTCTTTGTACTTTTAAGCCCCCACTACTCACCCAAAGCGCTGAAGGACACAAAGCGGTTCTCCCTGGGGTTGATGCGGATGTCGTATGGACGGTTTCCCCACATGTGAGCGGCGCTGTTCACCAGCCACGTGGCGTTCAGCTGCAGGGCGTATCTGAAGAGGCCGGGAACCAAGTAAGCCACCTCCAGAGACTCCCCCCACAGCCACCAGGGCACCAGCGTGGGCACCAAGAAGCACATGAGCAGCATGGACAGGAGGTAGTGCCTGTAAGCACATGGCAACGGGGTACTTTTAGAACATATGTCCCTGGATGGAACTGAATTGATTGAATTGATGAACAGATGTTTAAAGCTAGGGTGCCTACATTGGCAGAAATTTTTTTAACCATGTAATAGAATCCATCTTACTCGTGCTCACATAAAAAATAAGAAAACTCTCCACAATTTAAAAATTAAGAAACATTCTCTTGAATTGGTCAGATAACTAAATTAGGTAACTAACATGATTTTGATCACAGTTGGAGGGTTCCAATTAAGAACTGAGGATAATAATTATTCGTTTTGTCTTGGGACTGGACTGATACAAAACGACAACAAAATATTTACCGGGAAAGTATTTAAACTAAAAAATCTTCAATTGCTAAATTCAGTTAAGAATTTAGCAAAGGTAGAATTTACAGTCAATTTCTAATTCGTTATACTTATTATTGGGATTATAAATTATAGTTTATGGAGCTGGTAGGGGAAAACGGAGCACCCAGAGGAAACCTACGCAGACACGGGGAGAACATACCAACTCCACTCAGAAAGGCACTGTTCCGAAGAGGATCTGAACCCAGGACTTTCTTGCTGATAAGCGAGATTGCGACCCAATCAGCCACAGTGCCGCCCAATTCAAATAACAAATAATGATTTGTTTTCAAATTCAGAAAACATTTGCCATAGGACCCTGCCCAGTGTTAATACATTACATTTTAATCCTACTTTTACAGCTACCATTGAGCTGAGATTTACCTCGGATGTATGTGTGGGGTAACAGTTCAGAATATCCCATTTGGTTCAATTTCTGGAGCATTGTGATTCATGATCAAGTAATGACCATGCTTTTTGTTGGCAAGAAAGAAACAATCAGTTTAAACTTACATAGATCTGCCACAAAAAGCACAGTATGTTCTTGTGTAGTGTTTGTCATGCTGTAAATGTCACTTATAACTGCTCATTATTTGTCAGAAACGTTGTTAGTGAACGAGGTTGAAGACACTAGTGAGCGTCTTCTACTGGAGAACCTACAGTATCCAACAAAGTTTATACCTGTTTATAATCTGATACCTTTTTATCCTGATAGTGAATCATCAGCTCCCTCATCAAGAAGAACCAGCAGAGGACGTACTTCCTGCGGCAGCTCAGGAAAGCCAAGCTGCCTGCACGGATGTTGGTGCAGTTCTACACGGCCATCATGGAGTCCATCCTCAGCTCCGCCATCACTGTGTGATTCGCTGGAGCCACAGTCAGGGACAAGCAGAGACTACAGCGCATTGTGCTCTCTGCAGAGAAGGTGATCAGCCGCAGCCTCCCTTCGCTGCAGGACCTTTACGTTGCCCAAGCTCGAGGACGAATTGGTCGGATCACTGCTGACACCCTCACCTGCACATGGACTGGAACCTCGCGCCCTACTAACAGTTTCTTCCCGTCTGCAGTTGGACGCATGAACACTTCATAACTCATCACTGTCCCCAGCCTTTATGACCGTCACGTTACTGTTGTTGGTGAATGGACTTTGTTCTCAGAGACTACTGCTGTTGTGATATAGAGCTATACAAGTAGTATACATAGCCTGCTGCACCCAGCGTCTACGCAACCTCTGCTGCTATGACCTGCTGTTGAACTTTTATAACAATGCATTGATTTGTTTAGTTTGTATAAATGCATGCAGTTTCTGCTGCTGGACACCTGAATTTCTCTAACAGGGATCAATAAAGTATTCATCTATCTATTTACAAAAATATATTGAATAGAAACCAGCAGAAAATACCAGATTATGTTGTTCAATTCTTGCTCGGCAAGTGGAATTTACCATAATTATGGAGAAAATGAAGGCACCAAACACTGACACTTTCATTCGAACATTATCAAGATGAAGCGCAGATAAATTTAAAGTTGTTTGGTCATCAATTATTGTTTTGCTGGACACAAAATATTTTTTTCCTCCCAGCAGGAGACAATTTGGCACATATGAAACCGAACTCACCGTCTCTGAAACATCACCACTGCATCCGCCTCCAGGTCGGACATGTCCAGCTTCTTCCCCTTGGCGACGACCTCTGGGTGCTTGCGGACCAGCAGCCAGCCCACATGGGAGAAGAAGAAGCCCTGTGTGGCGTTGTGGGGGTCTGCGTCAGTCTCGGAGTACTTGTGGTGGCTGCGGTGGTCCCTGGCCCACTCGTACACGTCATTCTGCACATGTGAAGAGAGGATTACACCAGAGAGTCGCAGATATAAGTGCACATCATCAACAGATTAACGTCAGTAATGGGCTGCAGTCACTTACATGCAAAAGATTACATGATTGTTGTTGTTTTTCATATTATACTGTAGGCCACCATTTGAATAATGTGTTAACTTTTTAGCTATGCTTTTAATGAATATATAAAATGCATGTGAAAGCCAGACCCCGTCAGACCTCTGAAGCTAAGCCAAGTCAAAAAAGTGCCAAATAAAACCGATGCATTATTATTTTGATTATGCTGGGGTACCTAACTTTGTCCCACGTAAATGTTGTGCACATGTTGTTTGTCCCAGCATTAAGTAAGAGTCTTATAAAAGTAAAATGCAAGAGCCCAGTGAGGCACTATTTGACTCTTTGAGCTGAGAGCAAATTGGCTGAGTGAAGGTGGTCCTCTCTTTTGACACACGTGACAAAATACATGCATGTGAAAGCTACTGTTTTAAGAGTGGGAAACTAGATGGATGGATTTTATTACATAGTTCAATCTTAGATCATTTGAAATGTAAGTACCCCAGCTTTAAATGATTCAGAAATACATTCCAGATATTGTAAATGTGGCAAAATATATGCAGATTAGAGAAGCTATACAACTGGCCTTGCTTTAAGTTATTGGAGTATGTAGAATGTTCATGTATGTATGTAGTCTTTCACCAAGGGCACTGTTGGATTGCTTAATAAACAGACAAAAGGATAATATGAAAATTACAAACAGATTCAACGGATTCATATGCAATAAACAGTAGTAGCGCTAAAGCGGATGTTCAGGAAGAACTAAACTCACTGCTCAGTCCTCCCCTTGTTGCTGCGCAGCAACAGCATCAATTAATCTTGGCAGCAATTAAGCATCGCCCTGCATCCACCTTCATATTGTGCAGGAAGATTTAATTCAAGGAGCATCTTGAATGCAGCAGCCCTCCTGCTCCACTTTGCCGTCTCATCAGCCGGACCAGCTCGTTCACCCTTCTCCTAGCTACCAACACCAGGGTTTAGGCCCCGGGGTTTTCCATTTTATAATCCCTATTTCTACTTTCCTTTTTCTACAGTCATCATGCAGTGCTCTGCCTGTGGGAACAGGCAGAGCACTGTGGGCCGGCAAATATTTGTAATCTGCAATTATTGTCTTCAGAGTCATATGTCATATAAGGAAGCAGATAGGGTCTCCACATTCAAGCCCGGGCTTAAAACACTACTTCAATTTAGCATCTGGTTAGGTTGTTTGTCTGGTTTGGTTTACACACTTGGTGTGTAATCCACGAATCTTTGGTGCTGTAGCCTGGGCTTTAGCCTAGCCGTGGCTGCTGCTGTCTCACCTTTGTTCGGACACGGTCTCTATATTCAAGGCTAGGCTTAAAATAGTCCTCTTCAGTTTAGCATATGTTAGGAAGGTAAGACTCAGGGAAGGCTAAACACCTTAGACTGTCAGTCAAGCTGCATAGGGAGTCAGTTTGCTGGGAGAAGAATGGTAACTTGAGTACTATTCTCTCCTCAATCCTTCTCTATCTGTCTGCATTGTTAAGATTTTGACTGTAGTATGTTCATTGCTATTCACCCGTTGCCCATGGTCTGTTTCATGGCGCAAAAACGGGACCTCTGAACCGACCCTCTCCATCTGCACCTGCGGCCTGCCTGGCCGACCCGCCTGGGAGCGCTTCAGTCTTGCACCAGACCTCGTTCCGTAGCTTATATCCTGGATCACTAGCCCGTCCGTCCGTGTGGAGCGGAGCCCTCTCTCAATATGTGGATCTCCCCGAGGTTTCTCACTTTTTTTCCACTGGGTTTTTGTGAGTTTTTCCTTGCCGATGCAAGAGGGTCTGTTGGACAGTTAGTGTCCAACAAGAAGGACTGTGATGATCCAGGACACTTTAACATTCCACAACATGTATGGACATTTTTCAACATTCATGGACATTGGTCTCTCCCTATGGACCAATTCATATGTGTATTTTTTTTTGTCTTGACTGTTGATTCTCTGATCTGTGTTGGTGATTTCAATGGTTTTGTTAAGTCCTCTGAGATGAATTCTGTTATGATTTAGGGCTATACAAGAATAAGTTGTTGTTGTTGTTGTTGATATGCGCTAATTTATGTATTGTCAGATTTAAGGCCAACCAATATACATGTATTTACTTCGAATATATGACTCTTGTTTTTATGTTCGAGTCTCTCCAGATTGAAATGCTTATGTGAAGATATGTGCATTACAGGCTACACCACAGAATGTGAAGGCCTTATAAAAACGCCTGTGTTCGCATCAGAGAGGTGGGTGTTTAACTTTTCAGTGAAAGAATTTGAATTGCTGTAAAAAAGCACTGTGAGGAAATTCACCTCTCCACATTTTGTCCATGGCTTGGTGGAATTGTGTCTTTTTTCAGCCAGCACTCAGTAAAGGATGAGCGTGTTTCTGTGTATACTTGTAAATGGATGTTTAATGCCATTATATATAAAGCATATACAATAATGACATGGAAAATTACAAGCAAAAATATAGCCTCTCCCAGCTAAACTTCACAATGAAATCAGCTGTTTGACTTAAAAACATGGAGCTTCCAGAACTACCGGTGGTTCTCAACTGTAATATGACATTTATATAATAGATTACAATACCATCAACAAATTACCTGAACTTAGTATGTGATCATGTAAAAATGTGTATTTTCACAAACTATTTTTTTATAAACACTGAATAATACAACAAAGTAATAGATCAAATTTCAACTCTGGAATCAAGGAAAGCGATTCTAAAAAATATTGAAATAAGTAAATGAAGTAACTAAGAGTAAGTCATATGGGCAGGTTTTACATTTAATTTCACAACAACTGAACGGAAATGAACTGAACTAAATTAAGTTACCATCTAAATGTAAGTAGATTTGATTTTTTTTCTCACTTTAAGTTTAAGCAGAGGCATTATGGAAACACTGGTGTTTTATATTACTTTCATACCAAGAAAAGATAGACTGTTTATTGGGAGTGGACCGTGAGTGTTGAGGTCTCCTTTGTGTTCATGCAGAAGAAGCCTGTTTGAGCATAAGCTAGCTGGAGCCAACTTGTTCTGGCGGCGGTAGCTTTGGATCGTGATGGGGCAGACATGTAACTAAGATGGTTGCTGCGGCAAGCTGGAAATATTAAAATAAAAACGCCAAGATAATAGATAATCACACATATTCTTGAGCCCAAAAGGGTGAGTGTGACACAAACGGTTACTGAGCTCGAGAAGTTTACTTTTCAACAGAAGCCAAAGCAAGCAAAACATCTTGGAGAAAAACATCTTCCATGAGCACTTCCCTATTAGGCTTTGTTGCGCCAGTGGATCAGCATTGTCCATGTGTATTTTACAGATGCTTTCTAGATAACTTTATGTAGTGGTTAGAGCTTGTGTTTCACAGCAAGAAGGTCCTGAGTTCGATTCCACCTCCAGGCCTTTCTGTGTGGAGTTTGCATGTTCTCCCCGTGTCTGCATAGGTTACCTCCGGGTACTCTGGTTTCCCATACCACTATAAACATGTACAATAAGTCTGGCATGTGTCCCCTGTACTGCGGCTGCACTCCCATCTGAGTGGAGTGAGAGGACAAATGCTCACAACAATTGTAAAATGCTTTGTGACTCTGGTCTTTGAAACGCGCTATATATGTTAATAAAGAAATACTTATCATAAATACATTTCAGAGTATGTTAAGCAAGTCTTGCATATTAGTAAGATATGATTGTTTTTGCCCAATTTACCTGAAAAGCCATGGAGTTAGCGAGGGCAAGGAAGACTCTGAGCGGAAACGAGGCCTTGTACGTCCGGTGGCTCCATAGTCTGTGAGCTCCGGCGGTTATGCCCAGACCACTGATGGCATAACACACAGCAGCTGTAACACAAAACAATATTATAAATAAATTACAACACCTGTGTCCAGACAGGTTTCAGAACAATCTTGAATATGCAAAAGCTGTTGTTTTTCAATTGTGAGAAAGTTGCAGCCCATTGTGTTACAATGGGACGTCTATAGGGACCAGAGCCATTGTGCTTTGTCCGGCAGGAAAGTATTCCAGCAGTAATGGAATATGACGGTTAAACTGGGCATGCAAAGGGGAAACAAAGTGACATTGTTGTGGAATTTTGTTTCACTGCAATCTTACATAAGTGTAAGATTGCAACCGGTTAAATAATCTCTGCATATGGCTATTAGAATGGGACCCTGTGACAATAATAGTTAATATGTAATGTAAAAATTAAAATCTTAGAAAGCTTGTCATCTTGCTGACCTTGTGTCTTTTCATGACTTGGTTGCTATCTTACAACACACATGCTTGTTTTCTGTTTCATAACCTTCAGAAAGGAGTGTATTTCATCCTCTTTCAAATCACAACGCACTATTATTGCTGAAAAGACGCAGCAATAAAAAAAACACACAATCAGATAACTCCCACTACAAAAGCAGTGTGGCCTACTTAATGTCTGTTGGGTTATGCACCAGGGAATATTGGTCGTATTAGTGCGATGTCAGGTTAAAACATTTGCATAACACAGTTGATTACATTAAAACTGGAATACCTAGCTTTCAAACCACAAAAAGTGGAACAATGGAATAAAATTCATAATTCCTCGCTCTCACAGTTTGCTTCTATCACCCCCTTTCACATGCATGTGGTTTTGGCCTCTGTCGCATCCTTAGATCTAGTTTTTTTAAGAGAATCGCCAAACTGTCATTGTGTACTTAGGCAAGACACTTCACCCACATTGTCTGAGTCTGTAGCTACTGTTTCACCACTGTGTACGAATGTGAAGCGCCTTTGTAAGTAGGCGCTATATAAAACCTATTATTATTGAATTGTTCACATCTGCCTTTACATGTGCCTTTACAAAACCCTTTCTTTTGGCACAAACAGATTGCTTTGGTAATTTAAATAAAAGTGAAATAGCCCAGCATTAAATTAAATTTAGCTCATTTGTGTACTACTTGAGAAATAATTTGATGAAGTTAATGATTTTTCCACTAGGAGTTTTAGTGTCATTTGCATAAGCAGTTTGGCTTTAGAGATTGTTTTTTGGGTTTTTTGTTGAGTTTGTGAACATTTCTCAGTGCCTACATTAGTTATCAGCAGATACAGAGCCAAAATATTGACATTGGCATTGGATAAACAAGATTGGTTCTCAGATATATGGTTATCAATTATCAACCTTCCTAAAATGTAATACAACTCTTACTGCCATTGCTTGTTGTTGCTAGTTTAACTATAAAACATCCCTCCATCCATTTTCTTCAGCTATGTCCCATTCCAGGTCACAGGGGCAGCAGTCTGAACAGAGACGCCCAGACTTCCCTTTCCAAACCCACGTCCATCACCTCATCCAGGGTAATCCTGAGGTGTTCCCAGGCCAGCGGAGAGGCACAGTCCCTCCTCGGGTTCCCCCGGGGGCCTATGTATGCATACATTGTATTCAGATTTTGAACTGCATAATATAATGCATAATATGCTCTTATATATAGTATTTATTTAACTTGTTTTATAACTTGCTGCACTTTGTCTGAATTGTCTTTGTCTTATACAAAGCAAATTCCTATTTCTGACTTCCTATTACTTAGGTTCTGATTTTCTAATATTAATACTGATTTTGTAATATTTTATCCACACACAAAACTGTTGGGACAAATATTTGTATACACCCAAGCTTTAACAATGATATTTTCCTGAGACAAGCATGTCTATTAGAACCGAAGAATAGGACGCGTAGAGAGTGCTTAGTGTTTAGTTGCAGAGAAACACAGTGTGTCAAAATTGGCCTGCTTGTTTTAGCATGTCTCGGCCTTTACCTGCAAACAATCCCATTCTCATCATGAAATATCACTATTACCGCCCCTGTATTGTTCCCACTGGTTGAACCCGGTGACTCAAGCCCACATCAGCACATTTTGTTCACCAGTTGCAAAGGGGGGTGTGACTGTCACCGCTGGCCATTACAAACGCACGCACTGTTGGATCCGTTCGCGGCTATACTTACTCCAAACCAGCGTAAGAGCCCGAGCAGAGGTAATGAGCGTGAATCCATACACAGCCCCGACATGTAACAAGCACATTAGGACGATATTTCTCCAAACCAGCTGCATTTTCGCCCCCCGACCCTCCTTTGCTTTGAGCTCCGTGTCCAAAACACCATTCCCCGGCGACGCTGCGTGCCCATTGCGCCTCTTCGTTGTCGGTGCTTGGTGGTGGCTGATGGTTTGTGTTTCAGTCATTATTGATGCTAAATATTTCTCGTTAAAAGAAAGCCGAAAAAACACAGTCCATAGTGAGGAGATGGGATAACGAGGGAAATTACGCTGGCTACGGTAGCCTGGTGGCGTGCGTAATGGTGGGGTGATGGCTTTTTCGTGCGTCCTGGTGTCGCTTGTCGTCAAAAAGGTACGCGGGTGGGATTATATAGTGCTAGATCTGTTTTGCCCAGCCCAGTCTTATTTAAAAGCGGATAGGGAAATTGATGCTCAGGGCTGCGTGGATCTCATTGGCCGCTGGCTTGTCTGATGTTGCGCGCGTCCCAGTATCCTCCTGTCTGATCAGTGACTGCCCGGGGTTGTTCAACAGCCTGGGATCCCATATCCTCATGAATCTAGGAATACTTTTAGGCTTAGTCAATAGATACCCATAGCCTATTGAATAAAGAACTTTTTTCTTTTTTTACATGGGGGGGGGTCTTAGATAATGTGTGTAATGTGTCTAGTCCCCTCTAGCGGATTAAATGAAGTACTACATATGAGTCTGTCATGTCTATGGGTCACAATCACAACGAGGATGATGAAAATGTGAAGAGTGGTTGTAATGTACAGGTATGATGCTGTATGTTTGTCTGTGCGTTAATTTTATTATTTCATATATTTCCCTTTTTTTCATGTAACCGGAGACTGCAGATGGTTACCGTGCACTGTCCCATTCCAAAAATATTTAAGTAAAAAATAAATTCGACACCAGGAATAAACATGCATACACACAGATATTAACAGCTGTGTTTCTTTGATTATTTTTTATTTATTTATTTATTGAAAACAAACTGCAAACATGGTAAAGCTGGGGCATCCAACTTTTTGTTGAATGGATAATCATGTTTTTTGTCCCAACTGAAAAGTGTTATGTAAGAGTAAAAGGTAGCAAACAAATCAGACATGCTTTATTCATCTTAATATAAAACATGTTGCATTCTTTTTCACTTGTCTGTCTGAAAAAGCTGATATAAAGGCCATGTACATGTGAAAAGGAGATAGAATGGATTTAGTTAAAAGACAAATAATTAATTTTTCCACCTAAAAGAAATTTTGTGTATACTGTGTATACTTTATTATTAATATATATTTGGAATACTTGAAATAAAAAGAACCCTGTAAGTTGCTATTTGACGCTTTAGACTGAGTGTGGTTTCAACTTTCTTAAGAAGCTGAGTTTTCACATACATGTCTGTATGTACATGTATATGAAAACTGAGTTGGACTTTATTACATAGTTCAATTTTATGTGCTTTGGAAATGATGCACCCCAGCATTTAATTAATCAGAGATAGGCAGCAGAGTTAATTTGACCGATGACTACTACTCTAGCTGAAAACATGTAGTTGTTTTGAGGATTTTATGGTTTGAGAGATAGGTACCCCAGCTTTAACTTCTACCTCTCAAACAGCAGTACAAGTTCACAATGTGGCGTGTGGGGGAACATGTCCACAGGCACTGCTAGTGTGGGAGTGAAGGCCTCTCCGGTCAGCCTTTTCTTGAGGTCCGGGCTACAACACAGCTCTCTAAAGTTCCTCATGGCCTCTCCTTCTGGCTTACAAGACACATACACTAGCCTGCGGATGGACGAGTGGTTCCTCAACGCCCTCACCACGCGATAGTGCAACCCCCCTCGAGCCGGATTCACCACCGCCGTGAGACCGGAGCAATTGTCTAAGTCCTTCATGAGACTTGGAAGGACCGCCTCGGCTTTTCCTGCTCTAAACTCGCAGTTGTGAACATTGTTGAGGGCCGAGTTGTGCCTGGCGTCCTCCACGGCCTGCTCCACCAGTTCCACACCCAGGACGCGGTGGAGTCTAGGGGATGCGATGATGCCGATGGCGCCCGTGCCGCAGCAGACGTCCAAGAGGGTACCCCCACCCACAGTTCCGGTTCCATGGGAGGGTGCGCATAGATCTCGGATAGTTCTGTAGAGGACCTCTGCAGCGGCCTGGTTCACCTGGAAGAAGGCGTCTGGAGATATGCGGAATTTGAAGCCAAGAATCTGTGAAATAAAACCAAAAGGAATAGCGGATTCATTTCTGTACATTTAAAAGAGGGGTGCCCATCTTCTCCCCCCTTAATGAATTCTATATTGGATTTGTCCCAACAGAAAGAGTTTTAGAAATGCAAAATCCGGTGAATTAAACAGACCACAACATGCTCTCTTCATCTGACTAGAAAACATCTTTTGCATACTTGTAAGAAATCCCTGTGAGTCACTATTTGATGCTTTCAGCTGAGAGCTGATTGGCTGAGTGAGAATGGTCCACTCTTTTACAGTTTGGTCTGAAAATGCTGATCTAAAGGTGGGACAAAGGCCAAAAATACAGAAATGTGACATTTGAACCAATCTGTTTTAAGAGTGAGGAACTAATGCCTCCATTGTGAGATAATAAAGTCTCATCTCTAGTAGCATGGATTTTATGTCAGGTTCAGAATTGTTCTATCTTGGTGCCCAAGATGAGTATGGAGTCTCTTTCACCCCGAGTCCAGTCTTTGCAGAGTAAAAATAGTATAAATAAATATAATTTCCCTGTTCTTTATTAACCTGACTGAAAGATAAAATGCCTACATTCTAAATAATTGTGCATGTAACAATATTATTATAAATTCAGTCATAAAAAAAAAACACTACCTCATGGGTTCTGTAATATTTATGTTTTCTGGTTGATAAGTTTTCTCAAGAAATCTCAGTATGGTGAATGGTAAAAGCTGGGGTACTTTAATTTCCTTACAATCTTTTGCATGGATAAAAAAGATCCCTGTGAGTCACTTGATTGCTGATAGGCTGCATTAAGGTGGTCCTCTCTCTTTTTCCATCTAAAAACGTCTATCTATAGATGGCCAACAAATGGATGCATGTGAAAACTAGTGATAGAGTAGAACCAAACTGCTTTGAGAGCGAGGAACCAGTTTGATGGATGTAAATAGTTGCATTTTTGGTGGTTTGAAAGTCAGGTTCCCCAGCTTTAAAACTCACAGAATTGCAATGTTGCAGTTGTACATTACCTCTTCATAAATATAAGGCACACCATGTAGGAGCTGATAGGGCGATTCTTCGTGTGTGCACCGTGTCATGGCGCTCTCTTGGAAAAACAATGAGTCAAGCTGGCACACTGAGCCTGGCCCAGTGGTGAAGAAGTCCACCAGGGCAGCCTTGTGCTCGGCCAGTTCCGTCGGGGACAGCGTCTGGGGATGAAAATAGACAATAGCCATGGTGTGCCCCTGAGCATTGGTTCTCACGGTGATCTCCCTCCAGTGTCCCCCGGTGTGGAACAAGAGACAGGGCTCTAGAGGGGATGTACGGATGAAGTCCTGGTAGCATCTTGCCACCAATTTGTGCTTTTCTGGCATGTTTAACAAGCGCTCTCCTTCTACACATATGATATCGTTGGCTCTTCCAGTCCCAATATAAAAACCAACAGTCTTTGTATTTCCATCTGGTCCTATATTGACAGAAAACGTTGACTTGTTCCTGTACCCATTTAGAACCGGAGAGGGCAGAATTGATAGGACAGGGAAGTTGGGTTTACCTCCAAAGCATGTCGATTTGAGATCTCCAGCAAGAAGTCCACAAAGCTGGGACAGGATTCTTTCTTGCCTCTTTTGCTTGACTTGAAGTTGATTCGCATAGTCCAGTCTCCACAATGGGGTGACCACATCTGCCAGTCTTTCCTCCCAAGACTGATGTTGCCATATGAGAGATTTCTGTTTTCCTTTGCAACGCTGCTTTGATAGTAGTTGCCTTTGAAGATTGGTAGAAAACAGTAAATGTGCACTTTTGAGAGGATTCCAAGTATACTGATTACAAAACAAGCATGATTTAACTATTAATAGCGCCATACAGATGCTATAGACAAATAAAGTATCACATAAAGAACTAAGCAAGAAAACCAAATCCAAGTCACTTTACCTTGTGAGTAGTGTGACGACTATATGGCGAGCCAGGTTTAGCATACTACGTCATCAAAAAGCGGCTGAAGGCACGTAAACATTTCCGCAGTGTCGCGATGGACTCAAACAAGGACGAAGCGGAGCGATGTATTAAAATAGCTCAAAATGCCATCAGTAACAGCCAACCGGACAGAGCTAGGAAGTTTCTGGACAAGGCACAGCGGTTGTTTCCCACTGATCACGCCCAATGTAGGTCAAACGCGTCCTTGTTTTAGCAGCGGAGTGTTGTAAGATGGTGGGCCCTCGGCGTGAAACCGAGCTAGCCAACTAATACTCACGATGCTTTACTTTTATACATGTACGGCAATGTGTTTGTGAGCGTGTTAGTCTACACTTACCTATGGTTGCAGATTATTGGATGTTATCATTGTGTGAGATTGGTGTGTTGACTGTATGGGTCTCAAGGCTGTGAAGCTAACGCGAAATGCTAATATATCTTATGTTGCTAGCATGTTACAGCAGGGGTACCTTTAAATCCGCACTACATTTGACAATGTTATAAACATCCATGCGACTTGTTCCTCACTATCCAAACAGTTTGGTTATATCACTATGTTTCTCATGCATGTGTTTTTGACTCCTGTCACACCTGTAGATCAGCTTTTTTTAGACTGAAGAGAGGACTACCCTCACTCAATCAGCTCTTGGTCTAAAGCGTCAAATAGTGACTCACAGGACTGTTTGTAAAATGTAATTTATTTCCAAAAAGATATTGTGGTCTAATTTTTATTCACCACACCTTTTAGGATTTCAGTTGGGACAGTCTCCCAGTTGTTCTAGTTAGCAAAGTACATTGCGCTGCAAGCATATGTTTTGAAATGCACCATACTGTGAGGTCACCTGCTGTGTGGAGGTGGGCCGAGGTTAACTTTAGAAGGAAGGGGATGTGATGAAAACGCTACTTTTCTTTTTTTAATGATCATATTTGCCGATTTGTAAATAGATTTTGTTAAATTGAGGGTTCATTTGACAAGAAACTATGTCACTTGATAATCCCTTAATCTCGTAAAAAAACATAACTTTTTCTTAACACAAAGTAAAATAAACAATTTGAGGCAATGTCTTGCCTCTTGATAGTCATTTAAATACTTTTGTGTGTTAGTATTTTGATTAATACAAACCATCTTGAAATGCATTATTTTGATTTAGTATAATATTCAACAATGCTTTTATTTAATTTATATCCTTGTATATTAGTGTAAGGATTCTATCTCAGTCCATCCCATGTTTTTTCCCTCATGGATTCTTAGAAAGTTGCGCTTTGAATTAGGTGAATTATTAAATTGACAAGGGAAACTGATCCTGTGTTTGAGCAGGACGTTAACATACTGATAAATAAGTGATATCCATAGATCAGTTGCATCCAACTTTATTCCATACTGAGATTCAATTTAAAACCGTAGCAACTCTGAGTGAATTATTATTGTTTCCCCTGGGTATTGCAATATTTAACTTTTTTTTCTCCCTCTGATCAGATAAGCTTTATTAAAAAAAATCTGGATGAATCCAGAGAACATGATGATTACATTAATAATTTGTTTCTCATTCTCTTACAGGTTTACTTGACTCGCTAACCCAGAACGGCAAACCTCCTACCGAGAATGGAGCAACGGTGAACGGTGACGGCCCATCTGTAAGACAAAGACGCCACGGGGATGAAGCTGACGTCTCTGGCCATAGTCACACAGAGTCTGCCAAGCCCTACACCGCAGAGCAGGTGGAGGCGGTCAGAAAGTAAGTTCCATTTTATTTTATTTTTTGGCTGGGAAATAAATCAGATGTATTTTTTTGCAAATCGGAAGATGTGAGAATTGTCCAAATCAAGGTCATTGAGATGTCATAGCGTTTACAATACTTTATTAATTGTTTGATTGCTTTGGTTTAAACATTGCAATTGTCCACAAAAGGGGTAACAACACTGCACTTGTAGTCCCTCATAGATGCCAATGCTCTGTAAAGAAAGATCAGTGCTTCTTTAAAGCCATTTTAGATTTCAATAAAATTATGATGTCTTGTGATTAGGGTTGTCAAACGATTGAAATTGTGCCATATTTTCTGTAAGTTCTTTAAATGGAAAGATAAATGACAGTATAGTGTACATATGTTTTATTATAACAACAGTAAATCCACATAAAATGGCATTAGCATTATCAACATTCTGTCTTTCTGTAGTAGACAGTATTTTTTTCAGCGCGACATCTTCCGCTTCTGCTAAAGCCTCCGCTTTCTTCTTTTTCCCTGTCTGATAAATGATGTGGATCCAATTCATTATTGTGCCTCTTGTAGGATGGGTCGAGGGACGCTTCTCTCTGTGTTTTAGCGAGACTCTTCAACTATGCTCATCCACGCCTGGATGGGACAAAAAAAAAGGTTATTTAAATGGTATGTGGAAGCACATACTGTACAGGATGTATGTAGTTTCAATAAGTGAAATAAAGTGCAATAGTCTATGTTAAAAGAGAGTAATAAACATGTCACTACACAGTCTGAGGGAGATGGACACAGACCAAAACTATTGTTTGTTACAGGGATGAGAATGGGACATTTTTTTTAAAAGTCTGAAATGCCTAATTCAGCCAATGGTTGTCATAAAATCTGTTTGATTTGTTTACAACAATTAGGTACCCCAGCTTTAATTTAGCAAAGGAGACACAGGCACTTCCTGAGGCTCCCTAGTCCAACTTCAGCGGTGTATTTATTGCTTGCACAGGTTACGCACACGACAAGCAGAGAATAGTCCTGTGGAGTGTATGGTCTTGGAGATGATCACGTTACGTCGGTGCTGTTCACCGTGTTGTTGTCAAAGCGGCTCACAGCCGCTGGAGGTGGGAACCGCTGTCCAGAGGGGCCGCAGCTGCCCTGGGTCAGAACGCTGCAGTCACAGAAGTTGCGGAATCCCGTACGAGTACATACAGTGTACATTTTTTAAACAGAATTATTGAAACATTTGAATTAATGTGTGTTAACGTGATCATTTTGACAGCCCTACTTGTTATGTAAACTTTGGACGCACCCATAGAAATACAGTGGTCCCTCAAGAAAATGCGGTTCACCATTTGCAGCCTCGCTGTTTTGCAGATTTATTTTATTTGTAATTTTGCATGCCTTTTTTTACAGAATGCTTTTCATGCGGCGCGTATACTACAACAAGATCATATACAAAATCATATAACCACTAGTATACATGACAGTTACCTTTTTTTTTTTTAGACTGAGGTGCAAGAGCGGTGGGAATAAAGGGGCCTTTATCCCCACCGCTGGCAGACTGTACAATAAGTCACTTTAAGTCACTTGCACTAGGGTTAGGCTCAATAAAATCTATCTCATCTTATCAAAAGTCAGAAGACTTTTGTGGCTTATGTGCAGGGTGGTGATTAGTTCAGAGGACTACCATGGTCTTCCCTCAGCCCGGTTCAGGTGGTTGAAAAGGTCTTTAAAGTGTGTGGTGAGCTGATACTATGGATTTTGCCGGGTTTTTTTTTTTAGAACCGAACCCCTGCGATAGATGAGGGACCATTGTAACATATTGACTTCTGTACAAATATAGGTACTTCAGTGTATTTGTTTTTTAGGCATATTTCTTGGTGTCATATAGATGGAACACATTGAACCTGTAAAAAAATAAAAATAATTGCTTCTCATCTAGTAACACTTTGCATTCCCCAGTGAGGTGTGTGCGCATGTTTTAGATGTGTTTCAGAGATTAACCTTGTCTTCCATGTGTATTCCAGGATTAAAAGCTGTAAAGACTACTACCAAACTCTGGGGGTAGAAAAGACGGCAACAGAAGAAGATCTGAAAAAAGCCTATAGAAAATTAGCGTTGAAATTTCACCCAGACAAAAACCATGCTCCTGGAGCCACTGAAGCATTTAAAGGTACACTTCATTAAAATGTTGACATTTTTTACCAATAATGTGTAAATATAATGCTAAATTGTATGTGATTTCCTTCAGCCATTGGAAACGCATATGCCGTGTTGAGTAATGCAGACAAAAGAAAACATTACGATCAGTACGGAGAGGAGAGCGCGCAGCCAAGCAGCAGACACAGACACCACCATCGCGAGTTCGAAGCCGACATTTCACCTGAGGATCTCTTCAATATGTTTTTCGGTGGTGGATTCCCAACAAGTAAGTCCTCAATCAAATCATGTTCATCTTTTTGAAATTCTTCTTCAGTTGAGTTAAAAGTAATACTGCTGTGGTGAGTTTCAACTTATCAGCTCTTAGTCCGCCTACATCCCCTCTTTTGTGAATATTAACATATTTTTGTAATTTAAGAACCTTTACTGGTCTAAGGAAAGAGTATGACTTGAGTAGAAAAATATTATGCCACATAATATGCTTCAGCTTTATCTGGGTGACATGTACCTGTCGTTAAATGTCATATTAGCAGGGCCTTTTTCTTGTTATTTGCCATATTTGACTAATGCAGTGGCTCAGTTGCTACAGCACTGGTCTTCGGACCAGATGGTTGTGGGATCAAACCCGGTACCAGACCACTAATGTCTGCTGTTGTGGTGTTCCTGGCCAATACACTTTCTGAAACCCCATGATCATCCATGTCACTTTGTTGTGCAAACTTTTCTTTGATTTTTTACATTAATGCTCCTTTTTAGATTTTGCATGTGCGTGTCTCTTTTTCCAATAAATTGTTTATTTTTTTTCTAGGTAATGTACATGTTTTCAGAAATGGAAGAATGCACCAACACAATACACATGAAAGAAGAGAACAGCGAAGAGAGGTGAGCCCTTTTGTTTATCAAATGGCAATGTTTTTCATTTGGTTTCATTGAAGTTTCTTATCACATTACTGTGTTTTGTTCACCAGGGAGGTCTGGCTCTTTTTGTCCAGCTTATGCCCATCTTAATCCTCATCATCGTCTCTGCTTTGAGCCAACTGATGGTGACGCAGCCTCCCTACAGCCTCAGCTACCGCCCGTGAGTTCCACTTCAGATTCTTAGCCCGAGCCCGAATCTAAGCTGAAATCTGTGCTGCTGAAAGCGGACTCGACCATATTTCATAAGAGGACATTTTGCGACAATTTATCCAAAAAAAAGAGCTCAGGTTTGAGACAAGTTTGTTTCCTTTTTCTAGCGAAAGCCGAATTCTGAGATCGAAGGCCCCTGATCAGTTATTACTTGGGCTGTTACATGATTAAAATGTTTTAGTTTATTAATTGCATAAGAATGGTGCGTTAACTCGCGATTAATGACATTTTTAGGCCGAGCCAATACGAAGTATTGGGGAGGCCTATTGTTATTCACCGGTTTCATATTATAATACTTATTATTTTTTTCCCGCAACTTCAATTCGATTTTTGACCCTGAAGACATGCACGAAAGTCTGCACATGGGGGGTCTAAAACGACCGGTTTGGCGAAACATTTGATAAAATGAATGTTTCCAGATTGTCCGACGCTCGCCGACTCTATAACGCCCCCTAGAAATTTCATTTTTTTTGACCCTCTGGGGATTTTTTTTCAAATTTTTGAGTAGGTACACGAAATTCGGATGAGTGATAGATCTCTATGAGACGAGCATAAAAGCCGTTCTAAGCACATGTCTGGGACCAACAGGAAGTCGGCCATGATGGGCCGAAGTTTCGCCACTAATTTGACTTTTCATTTATAAATTCGAACTAGTCCCTGGTTTTTCATCACACAGGGTTCTACCACGTCATTTCCTAATCTGGACGGATTGAAGTTAGATAATCATCAAAAAAAAGTTAGAAAATCTTCACCGTTTTTGTCCCTCGCCATGGCGAATAAGGCCTTCGTTTTGGCCATTTTCGCTGAGCCCTGAGGGCCACAGGCTCAGACCTACAGAGCTGAGACTCACATCAGTAATATTAGGTTATGGCCTGAACGCAATGACACTAAAATCATTCGCCCAATTTGAGCTCTTCAGCGCCACCTGTCGGAAAGTAATAGGGCACTAGTGCTCGGATCGGCCCGAAAATTGCTGAGTGTATTCTCTGGACCAAGACGAGCAAAACATTACATTACGCAAAAGTTGTACGTCCCACACCTGACCACTGGGGGCGACGTAAAGTGAATAAAGAGCTTTTTGGGGCAAAATCTTTGTCCGATGAGGCTAAAAATGAATTCAGAAATACAGCGTATGACCCTGAACACAACGATATGCAACACACAACTGTGAGTGCAACAGCGCCACCTACAGGCAGTTCAATGTGTCTCATTTTTGGCTTCGTACTAGTCCCTGGATTTTCATCGCACAGACTTCTACCATGTCATTTCTCCATCTGGACGGATTGAAGTTATGCAATCATCGCATAAAAGTTAGAATTTTGATGTTTGATGCTCTCCTGACCACAGGCTCAGACCTACAGAGCTGAAACTCACATCGCTAACAGTTGGTACTGGCCTGAGAGTAATGGTGTGAAAACACACACCTAATATGACTCTACAGCGCCACCTATGGAAGGCTTCTGACCTAAACTTTTCCGATCTTCACCAAAGTTGCTAAATCAAATCTTTACATCTGCACGAGCAAAATACTACTCTACGTAGAGGGTGCATGTCCCGGAGGTGACCACTAGGGACGCACTTTATCATATAAATGAGCTTTTATATACGTAATCCTGGTCAGATCGGGCTGCCAATTCGTCGGCGTGACGCTTGTGGGACCGGCGCCCAGGAGGCGGTCGCAAGAGGGGCGAGGCCTTCCATCGCCGCTTGCAGCTTTAATTAACATTCTATTTCAAATCCACTGCAATTGAAGTCAAATGAGATTATCAAATGTAATGACACATTGTCATTCATACCAAATGTACTTGAATCTGTTGGATTTCCTCACTCACAACCTTTTACTTTTGGGCACAACCAACATGAGCTGTTACTGAAAGGGAAATGTTACGTACCCCAGCTTTAATTTAGCGAGTTCTGTGTGGCATCTCTGATTGCCACCCCCCTGACCCAGAAATGGATTAAAGGGTAGAAAATGGATGGATGGATGGATCTTCAGCGGTGTATTTGCGTGCACAGGTTGCGTGCACAGGTTACGGGCAGGTTATGCAAAGACACGCACACAACATGCAGAGAATTGTCCTGTGCGTGTATGGTCTTGAATTTGACAAAGTTACCGCGGCGCCATTTGCCGTGTTGTTAGCGCTTCACAGCTGCTGCCTGTCCAGAGTGGTCGCAGCTGCCCCGGGTCAGTACGCTGCGGCCACGGAGGATGCGGACTTCAGTTCATACAGCAAACAGCAAGTGCCCCGCGGTCACGCGTGGAATCTTTTAAAACTTGAATTCCCAGACGGCCTACCTGCTCTGTCACCATCTCACACACGCATGTGTCCGCGGCATTCTGATTGATTGAAAAATGTGGGTGCGCCTTGCTTTGGTGTGCAGTGGGCAAGATCCAGCCCACTACAAGAGGCGCACAGTGAAACAAACATGGGGAGAATGACTGTGATTCGGACATTACGTGCACATCCCTTTCAAAACTCTACCGTGAGCACAGGACAGTACATGTACAGTAGGTTCGCCAATCAATTGTGTTGAATAAACAATTAATCATTTCTTGTTGTTTTTGCCAAAGGTCATCTGGACACATTCACAAAAGGCACACGGTGAGCCTGAAGGTGCTTTACTATGTGGGAGAGCGCTTCAATGATGAATATCATGGCAATAGTCTGAAGAGCGTGGAGAGGAGTGTCGAAGAGGATTACATCTCCAACCTCAGGAACAATTGTTGGAGGGAGAAACAACAGAGTATGTTCTTAAAGGTCATTGTTGAAGGGTTTTATGTATTCTGCTGCCCCGCAGCCTTTTTCACGGTTATTTTTACAGTATGCAGTATTTAGACAGTATCCTCTACCTAATGTAGAGAATCAGAATGTATGCAGTTTCAACAATTAAAATAAAGTGCAATAGTAACACATTACAGGAGTATATGAATAAACATGACCACAGGACCAAAACTATTGTTTGTTACAGGGATGAGAATGGGACATTTCAAAAAAGTCTGAAATGCATAATGTCAGCCAATGGCTGTCATTAAATCTGTTTGATTTTTTCACATTTTTCTTTTGGGCACAACCAACATAAGCTGTTAATGCAAGAGAAAATGTAGGTACCCCAGCTTTAATTTAGCGAGTTTAGTTGCGATTCAGGAGGAGACACGGGGGAGACACAAACTGTTTCTTGCAGCGGTGTATTTAATGTGTGCACAGGTCCTGTGCGTATATGGTCGTGGACCATGGCCACGTTACGGCCGCACGCTCGCCGTGTTGTTGTCAAAGAGGTTCACAGCCGCTGGACTCGGGAACCGCTGTCATTACAAAGCGGGCATAGCTGCCCCAGAACGCTTCAGGAGGAGGCGGAGCAGCCATCCTCCTCCATCGGCAGGAGGTTCAGCTCTGATATTTGGATATATTTGCATTAAGAAAACAATTTATCTTCACACACACAAAAAAAAAATACCTCATTGATATAACAACTCACAAATACGGAAGTCGTTCAGATTGATTTCATATTTCTATTCGACTTTAATGTCTTGTAGATTTGATTGTAACTTTTTTCTAAAACTGATTTGTTAACCGGGTTAATCAAAATAAGTGTCAAATTTCAGGATAAACTTTTTTTGATCATTGGAAATGTTGTTGAATAGAGAATAATAAAGTTGACTTAAGGATAACCAGTGGAGAGTAGAGAACGGAGAATATGTAATATTAGTTTAGTTTGTAGATTATTCGGTTCAAAACAAATATAGTAATGGTCACATGTTAATAAGCTCTTACAATGACCTTTGCCAAACCTGGTGCAGGTTTTTTTGAAAGTTTGTGTTTGAACATCAATCCCAAATTTAACTCTCAATCTATTTCTACAAATAGAAAGTGTTCTTACTAAATTAAGAAAAAATATGTTTTTGAAAGGGAAAACTAAGAAGTATTGTACAGTCTGGCGTAACTCTATGAAGAAGGAGCGAGTTTGCCAATCTCACCTTGCTCACAGTTGTATATTGAAGGAAAGAAATGAAAACGTCAGACCCTTCAACAGACCTTTTACTGCTGAACCTTGAGAATGCTCTTACTGATATATCCTAGTTACATTTGCTGTCTTTCTTTGTTCCAGAGGAGGGATTATTGTATCGCGCTCGTTACTTTGGGGATTCGGAGTTATTCCAAAGAGCACAGAGGATGAACACACCAAGTTGTTCCAGATTATCTGAAATTCAGGTCATGCTGGATGGCTAAACATTGCTTAAATGTATATGGGTAAGTGATGTGATAAATAAGAATAGCATTATTACACACATTTCAGATTATACTGTTTATTACTTTCATGGTAAAAATGAGTCCCATGTCACTACATGCTTATTGCAAACACACAAAGTCTGTCTGTGTATTGTTTTGTATTATAATGTATTGGCTTAATCTGCCGTTAGTAATACTTACGGGTAACGCATGCAGTGTTGTCTCAGTTAATGGATTTTTCTCTATCAAAAGTGCATGACCTTATGATTTCAAGTCTTTATCCAAAACTGCTATTGATGACACGATTAGATTATTAGATAACGTGATCGATAGATGTGTTTGTTTTAAAAGCAACCAGGTTTTTTGAGCACTCAAAGGTGCTTCCCATGTCATTATTCTTTTACTCCATACACGGTGGTGGTACTACCTGGGGCATACTGACAGAAGGGAGGCAACCATTATGTGCCATCGGACCTTCAGACCAATACTGATCATTCACACACTACCGTGGTATCACAGCTGTCATGTCATCATGTCATGTCATTTTCATCAGTCCCTCGCTGATCCTCCTGCAGGTGGTGGGTCCACAGGATGATGGCTTCTCCGTCATCACAGACATGGCTTTGGTCTTTAAGCGGGGGCTTCAGGCAATGTGGGGTTAAGTGTCTTGCCCAGGGACACAACGACAGCAGACATCAGTGGGAGCAGATGACATGGGTCCTAGTGGGCTCGAACCCACAACCTTTAGGTTCAAAGACCAGTGCTATACCAACTGATCTACTGTCGGCATAATAATACATAAAAAATACATAACCGACATTAGCCTGGCCTTAGCCATCCATACACTCCACTCAATTGCATGTAACGTCTGGGTCTGGTCCCTGTGTTTGCGATTACAATCGGTTGAATTCCATCCAACCAATCAGCGAGCGCGAGAGGCGGGTGTTGTTGTAAGTTGTGGGTGACGTCAAGAGTTTGCGCCGAACGGGCAGGTTGTAGTTTGGCCATGGCGAAGAATGCAATAGCAAAGTAATCCGGTCTGGTTCTATCAAGAAATTGAAGCCGGAGCAAGAGGGATGTTTAGCAAACGGAATCTCTGGCAAAGATTGTGGCGCTACTTGGCTAGGCTAAATGCTAAATGCTAACGACTCACTAGGGCGCATTATATACGTCACGGTAAACTCAGATCCAATCGTTTCAATCTGCTAAAGGAGTAAACCCCTCCCACCTGTAAACGGAGCTCACTGGAGCACATCCAGACCTTGGTCGTACCACACAAATTACATTTCGTACTAATCTAAACCGGCATACACTGTCGGCATGAAAAATACAGCTTTATTTTTCGTAATTGCACTTCAGCAGCCGTGACTTCAGGTGGTTAGAAAAGGTGTATAAAGTGTGTGGTTTTACAGCCTTAAAATATAACTGCTACTTTTCAAATTTTGCTTATTGCAAGCTAAAATTAGAACGTTACCCCCATGATAAACCAGGAACCACTGCATTTAGCTAGCTAATATTTATAATTTGTTGCATTTATTAGTGAAAAGCATTTCTTGTCCGCTTTCATACTAAATTAAAAGGTGACCTTTGTTCCAGGTTGGACGGTACTTGAATCTGAAGAATGCCCAGTCGTCTGGAGCACACGAAGTTCGCAAACCAAGAGAAGAATTGCCTTATCGCAGTGGACCGCAGGCATTGCAGATGGACTTCTTGGAACTGTGAGAAGCTTAGGTCGACTGCTGATATTTTTTTACTCTTCCAAACCCCATGTCCGTTTGATGTCCGAGGTGTATGCGCATAGATGAAGCGAGGATCACAAAGCTGCTACTTTAAGCTTCCTCTGTCCCCAATCCTTTCGATCTACCTAAAACCTATGACAATTGTCCCTGGCCTCCTGTTGACAAATTTCTGAGCCACTAAAGTGTGTGATTTTTATAGTTCGCTATGTATATATACTTTACTTTTTAACAGTGCAGGATTTATCGGATTAATATAATTACATATGCTGTTATGTGGATTTGCCTGTAGCTTGTTGGATTAAGTATCAGAAATGATTGCACAATAAAAGTAAATCTTATTTATTAAATTAACATGCTGAAATTGTTTCTTTCATTAAATATGGTCAAATTATTGCTGAGCCTGTTCTTTTCATACGTGCATATGTCCACTATTGAACTAAAAAAAAAATTTGACTCAACAACTGCACAAATATTTTTTCCTGGGGCTGTATTCCTAAAGGTTCTAGTGGCCAAAGTCAAAGAATATCTAAGAATAGTTAAGGAAAAAGCTATTCCTAAAGAATCCTAGTTCTTAAGAGATCTCCTAAGAACTAATAGTAGAGAGGACTTTTTGAGTTTCCTAAGAGGACAAAATGGTGGACAGAAGAGGCAGAGATATTCTACAAACACTAGACGACAGTGGGGCCAAATTTATCTCAGACACTTTTATGCTCATTGACCAATTGAGCCAGAGGCCAAACACTGTTCCTCTGTCCAGTTTGGTTTCCTCTTTCCCTTATTCTCCATTGCAGTTAACTTGTTTGAGGGATATTTGAAATTCAACCAACAAGGCTTCTTATAGACTGGTCAGCAATCACAGCTGTGTCATTTTACAATCGTTACATCAAAGTGAGTAAAAATGGTAAAAGAGAAATAACCAGCATGGCAATTAATATGAGCAAATAAACATTGTGTTAATACTTTGCAAGTGGGCCTAAGTTTTCACACATTCTGTATTTAAAAGAATTATTTACTATAATTCATTTTACATTGACATATCTATCTTTTATGCAAAATATTATTTACAATGACAGTCTTTAAGATTAGACATGATTAAGTGTGTCCATTTGAGGGCCGTTATTTTGCCCATTATCACCAAAAGTATGTTTTTGCTAACTAGTAGAATCAACCAATCACAGTGTCTGAAATGATGACTCATCCCTAGCAACGTGGTCGGCCGCGCCTCCTCACTAAGATGGGAGTTCTTTGAGAGAGTTCTGGAATAACTTATGACTCCGAGCTGGGGGTGTCCACATGTTTTAGTAGTCCTATTATCTGATTCTAGGAAAAAGAATTATATAAAATAATTTTATACCGGGCAATGTATAGAAGGTTTCATGTTAAAGTATTCAAGTACAAACTTTTGTATATAGTTGATATTTCAGTACATTTACATGAGTGGATTTTTATATTTTTCTACAAATTTATGACACCTCCGCTAGCTTGTATAAAAGACAAGACAACAATTTAATAAAAAATAATTTATTTCAAAAGCATGATATGTACAAATGATGTTACCATATTTGAGTATCAAATACAATGCCATCCACATGGTTGGATTTCACATTTCCAGAAAAGACTATGTGTCCTTTGTCAGCAGCCATAGTTTGAGTTTCATAAAAAGAACATTACAGTACGTTTAGTGCATTTGTTTTTGTCCAGATCTTCAGGACAATAGTTTTTGTCAGCAGCATTCCTCTATGAGCAGCTCTTCAGAACAGTACAGCTTTCTCTTGATGGCCCTGAAGCTGTGGCCCAGTCTGAGCGTGGCTTGTGGCTTTGGGGGGCTTTGTGGGGTCGGTCTTCCCTTTAGGAGCTTCTGCACTTTGGGCCATAGTCCTCCAATCTCCAACCTCAGCACCAGGGTGAGATGAAACGTGGGCACAACTGAGGCATCCACTGCAATCTGGTCCACTGAAACCACATTGGCCTGCTCGCCCCTGTCCACGCACAGGTCAATGAGGGCCCCTCTCAGGCCACACGGCTCGCTCAGGGCTAGATGCACCAGCTCCTGGCTCATGTTATGCACCAGGCAGTCAGGGACAATGAGCTTAGAGCAACCCAGTGTGTGTGAAGCTTCACCCAGGCTTTGTGAGATGGTGGCCACCACCTCAGAGGCCAGAGACTCCTCCAGAGAATAGAAGCAGTCGTTACTGTCGCTGTCGGACAGAGACAAGTCTGCAACAGAACCTAAACACAACAAGGAAATCTGTGTTAGGCTCATGTCAAACAGCCACACAACTAATTACAATGGGTACAGATTAAAGCTGGGGTACCTAGCTTTTAAACACAAAAAAGTGAGCAACTATGTAATAGTCATGTGATTAATGGCAACTATCGGTCTATTTCAATATTTCTCAGCTAATTTTATTTGAGCTTACATAGAGGTTCAATCTATCTATATTTTACACATGCGTGTATATTATACACGCATGTACTGTGTTGTTGGATCCAAAGATTTGACAAAGACCACCCTCACTCAGCCAATCTAAGTCCAAATCGTCAGATACTCACAGAGCTCTTTCTTAAAAGTTTGCAAAATACATTTCTAATAAGAAATGATCTGCTCACAACAAATTTTCTTTTACAGAACTGATTGGATAAACGACATATATTATTTTTGAGGAAAAAAGTTGGGTACCTCAGCTTTAATGTTTAGTGAAATTGTATGTCAGCATAATGTGTTCAATGCAATATACTTTAGTGTGCAGACGTACCAGTTTCACTCCAGTTGTAGTCCCTTTGGTTCCCTTTGAGCTCCACTAGCCTCTGCAGCAGACTGCCCCAGGACAGCCTCTTCAAGCTCCGGTCCTCAGCTGGGGAAGGTGGAAAGCTGCCATCCAGAGATTGATTGGACGAAAAAGACATATTTTTTAGCATAGAAAAGCTTGAATAAAAGTGCAATAGTTGTTCTCCGCTTCACAGTTGGCCCCCTTCCCCACAGACCAGCTGGAGTGACAAACACAACTATTACAATGGAACAAAGGCTTATTTATCCCAGCGCAGAGGCCCCGCCCACTACATTTTAGAGCCAATCAGAGAAGAGCTCACGTATCCAGCGTCTCAGCTTGCCTGGTAACATTGGGTCCTTTTGAAGTCCCCCTGGCCCCTGACCTGACCCCCGGGCGCCACAAAGCTGCAGCTATATCATATGAAAATTTTCTACGTTTTTTTTTACGTGTAGTATATTTACCACGGCTTTTGGTGGGATCTGCCGTGACACGGACATATCATTGGTTAATCCACACATTGTTGGACCTCATTCAGAGAGCTTCAGAGTGAGACAAAAGAGCTGTTGAAAAGGGCCCCGCTCAGGACACGTCAGGCACGTAGCGCTCCTCTCTTGTCCCGGATGTGTGACTGATTCATGACAGTTGCAAATTAACATTTCAACATTCGGGGGGAAAGATGGTCTGACTCTGACTCTGTGCAAATCATCAATAGACTGACACTTTTCTATTGTACATAATATATCCTGCATTTAACATGTTTGCACATTTCCTCTCTTTTTACACAATCTTGAGTGTCTCTATCCATGTTAAATGTGACATGTAAATTTCTCCTTTGTGAGATAAATAAAGCATATCTTATCTTATCTTATCATTGCAAATGATTTGACTGAGGTAAAAAAAGAAAGAATGAAAACAAAAATCATTATAGATTGCCTATTGTAAATCTAGATTTAAGGGGTCTTAAGGAGATTTTCATATGTTTTAAAAACAATTCCTACGGTATATTTTGACAATATTTTGGACATAATCCTTATTTTTAAATCATATTTGATTAAATTTCACAATAGTGGAATAAAAAACAAAAACAAAAAAACAATCACAATAGCATACTTTGCTGGAAGAATGACCTGGATTTGAATCCCGGTTGGAACAGGGTCTTTCTGAGTAGATTTTGCATGTTCTCTCCGTGTCTGCGTAGGTTCTGTCAGGAATGAAGCAGACAGAGACGGATCGTGGTGCGCCAAACTCTGGATTGTTTAGTTAAGTTTCTCTCAAGTTCCAGTGGTTTCAATTGTTTCTTTCTCTCAGACAGAATAAAGGCAGTACACATTTATATAGTCATTGTCACGTCACACATCCAAAGACATACGTGTCACACAAAGACAGTCACATCATAGTCAAAACATGGAGTCATCATCAGAGTCCTTGTAGAGTCCTGCACGTAGGCCATATTGCTAAATACTAACAGTTCCCTCTGGGTGCTCTGGTTTCCCCTTCCACCAAAAACATGTACAAAGAGATAAAATCCTGGAGCGACTACTGCGTTCAGGATGGATTCAATGAAGAGAGCAAATTGCCCTACAGGGATAAAGAATGTCTTCCTTTATAAACAGGCAGGGTAGCAGGGTTTAACATTGTTATAATACATCCACAAATGAGACGAGATGTATGTTTGTGGGGTGACCTCCAGTATTGGGCAACTTTTGATAAATCAAAATTACATCTTTGGATGACATTCAGTACATACAATACATGTGGTGCTCGAACCAAACTGTTTCAAGAGCTAATAATATGAAAGTGGTTTTGACAGGTATTATTTACACACAGAGTGACTAATGTAAGCAGATTTCTCTTATGCGCTGACTTAACAGGATAGTCTTTGTTTCTATGTGGTCAACTGCCTTTCTTATGTTGTTTTTGTTTATATAGTGTTTTTGTAGCTGTCATACCAGTCTTATCTTACCAGTTTATTACTTTGACACTTCTTTTAGCTGCAGGAACATGCCTGCACTAGTCTGACCCCCCTTCCCGCTAGTAGAAGTTGATTCAAAGCTGGGTCCCTAACTTTTTAGTTTCACAAATAACCAAAATTGTATTATCAGTAAGTACATTGGGAATAAATGAGACCAAAATAACAACAACAACAACTTATTCTTGTATAGCCCTAGATCACAGCAGAAGTCTCAGAGGACTTAATAAAACCATTGAAATCACCAACACAGATCAGAGAATAAACAGTTAAGACACAAAATATACACATATGAAGTTGGTCCATAGGGAGAGAGAGACCATAATAATAATAATAATAATAATCCGTCTTTTATCAGAAAAACTTATATCCAGACGGAGTGTGGAGTGCTGGGCCTGGTGTGGCAAAAATGCAGGCAAGACAGTGTGGAATTGGAAAGGATTTGGAAGAAATAAAGATGTCCTTTATACTTCATCACAGATCCATAAATGTAATTTGTTAACATTTGCGGACACTGTCATCCTGCTCCCTGTGGACCAATGGCTTCTATGTGTTTGTCATTTATGCATTTTCTGTGCTTGAACTGTTTGATTCTCCGATCTGTTTTTGGTGAATAGATAACTTTCCTTGCAGATGTAGGAGGGTCTGTTGGGTAGTTAGTGCACTGTAAAAAAGAAAAAGTTAGGTCAACTCAAAATTTCAAAGCAACCAGCTGCGAAGGATTTTTGAGTTGAAGGCATGAACTTAATTCTTCACGTTTTGAAGAAATACACTTATTAAGTTGTGTCAGCTAAGTTTTCCAAGTTCTGCCCACAAAGTTTTTAAATTCAAGTTACTGGAATTTTCAAGTCTGTAAAAACTTACTTTTTTAAGTTCAGATTATTGTCCCCTACAATGACTTACTATTTTGAGTTTAAATTAACCCCCACATTAAACCATCATGATGTTTATTTATGTAGCGCATTTTACAGACCAAGGTCACTTGGGTTGGGGAAACCAATGCAGACACAGAGAACATGCAAATTCTACACAGAAAGGCCCTGTTCTGACCAGGATTCAACCCAGGACCTTCGTGTCAAGAAGCGAGAGTGCTATGATAGGTCTGTTGGGCAATTAGCGTCTAATGACTGTAGTGATGATCCAGGACACTTTAACATTCTACAACATGTATGGACATTTATCAACATGTGTTCTATATTCTTTCTGTGTTTTAACTGTTGATTCTCTGATCTGTGTTGGTGATTTCAATGGTTTTGTTTCCTCTGAGATGACTACTGTTGACCTTATGTGTATTATGGCTATACAAGAATACATTATATTGTATTGAATTGTGAAGAAGATGACAAAGTCTGGGATCATGTCTTTAATTCAGACAGAAGACATGTTTTATTGTCGTTGGTATAGACAGCATGAACATGAACACGAACAAAGATTTTACTAAATGCAAGTCCTGTCAGCATCTGCCACGGTGCCAGTTGCTTCAACCTTGAGATAACCAAAACAATGGAAAAGTACTGCCTTGTGCATATTGTTAGAATGATGAGTTTAACTTTAACCACAGTTGCTTCAAAGTGTCATGAAATACCTAAAATTGTATTGTAAAGATCTCAGAGACGATTGCTGTGGTGATTTAGGGTAGATACAAAAATAAATTGAATTGAGCAAAGTCGAAATACAACAGTAAATATAAAAAAACATGCAAATGAGTTGATGAGCTTAAACAGGACTCAAGAAGGAAGTATTTAATTTCGTCCAACCAAGAGGAATGTTTGTTCTAATGTTTATGATCTGTTTCACAGAAAACACAAATGTTGAATCTCATCACAGTCTCATGTTTGTCCAAGGATCTCTTTTCATGTTCCTCCTTAAAATCGCTTGGAGCAATCCCGGAAACATGAGAAAAACGCCAAATATGAGACACTGAGAAACAAATGCTTTATCAAAGTTTTCTAAAAGGGCACAAACACTTAACGTTCACCTGCTTGATGTGGGACTACATTGAAAAAAACGATAAAAGTGTTTTTCTCTTTTGTGCCTCTCTGGATATTTGCTTTTAAATTATGAAGGTATTTTGACAAAAATGATAACATATAACATGAGTTTAAAATATATTATCAAACTCTGTTTTTGCAAAAAGATGCTGTTTTCTTTAAACATCTTTAAAATGAGCTGAAACATGCCATGGTACCTCTTATGATCAATGCTGCATGTTTATCATTATGAAAATGATTTCAGGGCCACACAAAAGAATGTCATGGGCCGGGCCACATTTGGCTTGTGTTTGAGACTTGAATGAGACAATAAATATCATGTTTATGCACCGTGTATGATGTATTTTTTCTCATAAAACACCAGGCGTGATCATCGGACAGGGTGAGGATTAGAAAAGGAATTAGAAACTCTCAGAGCATGATTTTTGAAAGGAAAACATGAGCATCCAGAGTGTGACATTGAGGCCTGCCACACTCCCACAGAGTTGTGACTTCAAAACCTATCATAATCCAGCTCTGGAGCAGGAGACTGACGTTTGAGCTGCTCCAACAGGCAAACCAACATAAGGGGACAGGGGAGAACCTCAGCAAACGCCCTCAGAAAAACAGAGCAAGCACGAGTTCTCACAAGGAAGAATACAATAAAGGAAGAGGTCACCTGAGTTTTTTTGGGCAAATAACTTGCGCTTTTGCTCAATAAGAATGGGCTAACTATCCGACTCTTTGGGTTGACTGCTGATTGTATGGGTCAATGAAAAAGCTGGTCTAAAGTTGGGTTAGTTACTTCTGTGAGATAGATATCTAACGCCTTACTGAGGAAGAGTATATCTGAAGGAAGAATATTTCTCTCTCCAAAATTGGACATATTACAAAACGCCCTCTTCAAGAAGGGGCAGAGACTACCAGCTGAGACCATGCTGAGTGCAGGAGCCACTCCTGAAGACCTTCTCTGCCTCTGTGGTGGCATCAACCATCTTGCACAATGATGAAACTGAAAGTACCTTAATGAGGGATGAATAAAAGGTTCTCTTAACTGATCCTAAAGGCTTTAATAGCAATCAAAGATATCAACATCTACATCACTCTTCTTTTTAAAGTTAAGAAGCTTTTGTGAGAATATCTAATTCAGCCTGACACATATTTGCAGTGTTTTATAATGAACACAGTGAAATTCCATTGCAATCCACTTTTATTTATGTAGCACATTTAAAAAAGATGTGTTTTTTGTTGTTGAAGAATTGGTAGATTTATGTGATTTGGCTCTGTTTATAAGGCGAATGGCACGTTTATGAAATAACTCTATCATTATCGAAAGTCTGGAAATACAGACTATTATCAGACGGTCAATGCTGTCTGTAGGCTGCCTGCTGTAACGCACTAAAGAGCCACA